TACATTAGTTAATTATACTGATTAATTAAATACTAATTACTATTTATCAGATTCCCTTACACTTTAGGAATAATGAAACTTAAAAATACAATGAACCACATTCATAATCACTCCGCTATCTATAGAGAATTTCTAAAGTAAGGCACTGCTCGAAACATGACCATTTCTCTTAAAAAAAAACAAAAAAAAAACCTGTTCTGCTTCCAACTAAAATACTAATTTCTATTTTTTACCAGGTGCATTTTTTGAAAAGAACCCTCTGAAAACCTTCCAGCAGCTGGATTTGGCAGGAAATTGTGTTAGCAGTGATGGATGGCTTACCTTCATGGGTGTATTTGAAAATCTTAAGCAATTAGTGTTTTTTGACTTCAGTACTGAAAGATTTTTACCCGATGCAGCATTAGTCAGAAAACTTGGCCATGCGTTATCAAAGTTAACTTTTTTGCAAGAAGCTAGGCTTGTTGGGTGGCAATTTGATGATGATGATGTTAGTGTTATTAAAGGTGCTTTTAAACTAGTAACTGCTTAAGCAAAGGGCAACCTGAGCCCATGAATGCACTGGGGAACTACATTACTTTAAGCCTGGTGTTTTAAAAATCTCTACTCCTATAGTCCAAAGGTTGGCAAGTATATGGCAATCTATTATGCACCTAAAAATTATCCTTGTCAACAGTGTTTGTCCTGTTTTGTTTTGTTTTTACAAAGAAGGGAGAGGAATAGTTAGAAACATCGATCAGCTGCCTCCTGCACGCCCCCTACTGGGAATGTGCCCAAACCAAGGTACATGCCCTTGCCCAGAATCGAACCTGGGACCCTTGAGTCGGCAAACAACGCTCTGTCCACTGAGCCAAACTGGTCAGAGCTCAACTCGCCTTTTCCAAGTTGCCTCTTTCTTTACTGATATCAGGATGATGTGTGGCATCATCACTTCCTTAGCTGGCCTCTTGCATGGAAATCTTTCTTATTTTCACCATTCAGGAAAGAAAAAAAAAAAAAAAAAAAAAGAGGAAGCCAGGCAAATGAGACCAAAGGAGAGGAGGAAGTGGGAGTTTACTGATGACATGTGCTATAGTTCTGTGTTTCATGATTCCTAACAGGATTATCAGATACTTGAAGGGTTCTCTTCTTCATCCCAGGTTCCCTTGGCCTCAAAATAGCAGGTCATATATGCATATCCATGGACACAGACAATAGTGTGGTGAAGACCTGGGGCTGGGGGTGGACTAGAAGGGGTCAATGGGGGAGGAAAGGTGGACGTATGTAATACTTTAAACAACAGAGATGGAAAAAAAGATAGGTCACAAGAACTGATATACTGTATGCCTATTTACTTAGTACAGTGGCTGACATGTACTAGATTCTCAACAAATATTTGCTAAATGTGAGACTTAAATTACCAATAAAGTTATTAAATAAAGAAGCCAGAATTATTTAAAATCATAAAACTCAAAAAAATAAATAAATAAAAACATAAAACTCCATGTCTGTTTTTATTCAAAAAGTTTAATTCAAACAATTTGGAATGTGAAAAGCATTTTCTTCAAGACTCCCAAAAAAGATTGGCATTCTTTAGTCAAGCAAAAAATAAATTGGCAGTTTATGAACAGTAAATCAGTTTTGAAATTGAGTCCACCCCAGTTGCTGATCCATGTATGTAATTTCAATTGTGACTTTAAGGAATAAATAAAAATGCACTCATTCTTTCATTACTCTATGGAAGCTAAGGCCACTTTGTCCTCATCTTTTCTTCAACACCTTTGTGACAGTAAGACTATTTTCTGGTTTTGATATTAACAAAAGGAGCATCGTGTGTGTGAAAATTTACCTGTGACAGATGCCTAGAAGTTGAATTGAGTTATAGGCTTTTTATAATTTTTTTATAGATACTTCCAAATTGCCCTCCTGTACCACTTCATATTTTTCTTCAGTTTGTCTTAAGTTTAACATCATGTACTTTAATTTTCATCCTAAGTAGTGATATTGTGAAATCACGTGCTTTATGTATTATGTTTTTTTAATGTGGATTAAAAGGTATAATAAAAAAAAATAATCCTTGCCAAGACCGGTTTGGCTCAGAGGATAGAGTCTCGGTCTATAGACTAAAGGTTCCCAGGATCGATTCCGGTCAAGGGCATGTACATTGGTTTCAGGCACATCCTGTGCAGGAGGCAACTGGTTGATGTTTCTCTCATCATCTGTTTCTAGCTTTCTATCCCTCTCCCTTCTTCTCTGTAAAAAATCAATAAAATATATTAAAAAAAAAAATCCTTTCCCACAAAGAAATACGACTAGGAAAAATCTGTTTAAACTGATTTAAAAGATTTATTCCTGGCAAGTCTAAAATAAAAGTTTAAAATAATTTCTAAATGGTGTTAGCCTTCGGTTCACTTTCTATTCTCATGGCACCTCAAATTAATGGCTTGAGTAGTAGTGTAGATAACACTTGGCCTATATGTTGAGGTAGTCACTGGGAAGAAATTCTGGGTACAATATTGTTTAGCAACTGGGCACATATTCTATAGATTTAGTCATATAATTTTAGAGCTGATAGTTTATAGATCCTAATTCATCCCCTACCCTATCTTTACAGACGAGAAACTCGGGGAAGTTAAGTGACTTGCCCATGGTTACAAAACTACTTACATAGTGGCAGTATCAGTTTTGGAATCCAATTCTTGTCTTCCAGTCCAATGTTTTTTCCATTACAAACAGTGATTTCTCAAACAGGGTTCATCATACTCCATGAAGCTTGCTCTTAAATCACAAACCATGGGACAAGTATTTAATTTGAACTTCCCTTTTTTCTTTGTTTAGCTTTAATCAACTCCACAGCAAGATTTACCAGTAAGGCTACTGTCTAATGGCCTATGCTGGCCAAATTTATTATTTCCGTATCTGGAAACTATCCAGAGCTTGGCAAATGAGACGTTATGTAATAATGCAAGGAACAAAGTCACCTATAGCAGTTGGCAGTACTAAAGTTCAGCAAGTAGAGCCAATTCCTTTAGAACCCACAGGCAACTCCTCAAATGGTGTAGGCTGGCACGAAAGCACCTTCGGTAGGACAACAACTGCAAAGATGATGCTTCTGAGTGAGTATTGCGGAAGTAGGCATTTAACCTCGCACAGAGCTGTGTTCAGCACCTGGACACTTTGAAAATCCCATAGGGATGGAGATGTGCATACAGTGGCAGCACATCCATTTGAACCATCCCTCAGTACATGGCAGTTCTTCAGATTTCATGCAAGACCCGAATTCATATATAGATGAGGTCAATGGAGGAAAAACCACCCTGTAATGGTAGACCAAGAACAAGCAATAGTAATAGTTGGAGAACATAAGACAAAGGACAACAAACAGGTTGCCTTATTACATTTGACGAAGTTTCCTTTCCACCAATAGTCCAAGTAGTGTGGACTCTTTCTTCAGTAGGTAAAATGCCTGAACAGGTCGCAGATGCTGGTCGCAGATGCCAAGACAATGACCAACTCCTCAGCAAGCAAAGGGTATTTAGGACATGGTCCTTTATTATCACAGGATTAGCTACTTGTGATAGAGATGGCTTTCTTAGATGTTTGTTATTCCACAGTGAAGAAATAGGTGTTGCTCATATTTAAGAGAGGATGAGTTGATTGGAGAAACTTGCAAATTCTACCTGAACAGGAATCTTCTCTAGATAGCTGAATGTTGGCTGGAAAAGTCACAAATATCCAGGAGTCACTGGACTCCACAAATGTTGAATCCACTCTTAAAATCCCTTTTTAAAACCCTAATCATAAAACTCATGTTATAATGAGAAAAACATCAGGTAATTGCTGCTTGTTATATTGGCCACATTAGAAAGTTCTTAACATTTGCACTTGGAAAGTAATCAAAACAAGTTAAAAACTGCCTGTAGCAAGTCTAAAAATACTGTACCCTATAATCTAAGATCCATTATCTTTTGGTAAAAATTTATAATATAACCTCAAACTGATTATGCAACTTGGAAAATATATCAAATCCCGTATTATAATGTATGTTGAATTCCATATATTTTGGTAACATATTTGATATGTTTTGTTTAAAAAAATGAGAAATTATGTCAACCAATAAAAGTTACAAAAAAGATAAATTCCATCATGTCAGAATCTGATTATGTGTAAGAGAGAAAACTGGAATTCCTTTATTGCACATCACCAAAGGATTTGGTACTTATTAACCAGAATAAAACACTTTGAGAACCACAGACTATTTATAAATGTACTGAAATTTTTAAATGACAAAAACTAGGTAGTATGCCCTAGCCAGTCTGAATCAGTGGATATGTCAACCTGCAGAATGCAGGTCCCAGGTTCGATTCCAGTCAAGGGCATAAGCCCAGATTGTGGGCTCGATCCCCAGTGCAGGAGGTGGCCAATCGATGATTCTCTCATCACAGACTAACTCTTTCTCCCTCTCTGAAATCAATAAAAATATGTTAAAAAACCAAAAACTAGGTAGAATATATTCTAAAACTTCTGATAAAAATTTTTGCTTTTACTTTGCAAGACGTAATTCAGAGGATCTCAAAGGAAAATGTAGCAATTAAGTTTGGAAAAGCCATACTTTTAGGATGGATATTTTTATCCTTTCTTAAAATGTGTTTCATTATTCAAGACGCAGGTTTATAAATTTCACTGAAGACAGTATAATGTGACAGATCTACTCCATCAAATGGTTCTCTTGTAAAGGTAATCTCATATCACACTGTAGTCAACTTCAAAACCAAAGATAGCAAAATTCAAATTTAGAGAAATACACTTTCTAAAGGAAGCCTATTTAAAGTCTACAACATTTAGAAGTTTCTCACTGTTCTAACTATATCTTACAAAAATATAGTTTCATATAATGTGATCTAGCCTACTATTCTCTAACATTTACAACAAATGATTGAACAGTCAATGCAAAGTTGGATTACTAAGTAAATTGGAAGTCAAGGAGTCAATATTCCTCATAAAATAAATTAAATCACAGTATGTCACGGTCTTGGTTGTCCAATTCTATTGTTAGTCCCATATCTACTTGGTATATTTGTAAAACCAGTCCTGAATCCTTGGGTTGCTCCAAGTCCTGGAACTCCAAGTCCTTGATTAACCATGCTGCTATAAGGTATGTGTCCATGATTAAGTCCCAGACCATAAGGTCTTGTTTGTGTGTTTAGAAGAATAACTGGGTTCACATTTTTTCCAGGAGTGTTAAATGAAAATTCTGGAGGTGGACTACTAGGTTTGGTTGGAGTTGATGTGACAGGGTTCAACTCATCAATGCCCTTTAAAGGAGGCATGGGTATTATGTGATGATCTGAAAAATTGAGGACATTGGCTGCAACAGGCCCCGATGGTAAAGAGGGTCTTATCCAGTCATCCTTGAAAATCTGAACAGTCAGCGTAGACACTAGAGTGTACAGCCTGTTGGTCACATGAGCAAGAACCATTTGTTCATTTGCATCTCGGCGAATTCTTACATGCACTGATCCAGCCTAGAAGGGGCAAAAGAGAGTGCTTAGAATTACAGGATGCAAAATTCCCTTGGAAACGAGCATTTTACTTATGATTTGTTATAACAGTAGTTGGTATTCTCTTTCATTCAAGAGAAAACTTAATGTCTTAATATTCCTTAAAGACTACCTAGTAATGATTAACAATGAAATGATTTGGGACTCTAAATAAAACATGATCTTTTAATATATATAAAAGAGAAATCCATGTAGGATGAAGACAGGCATATTATAAATGAGGCAGAACATAAATGAAGTATATAAAATGCAACAGAAAGGCAGAAAAAGGAGATATTAATTCAAATTGGGAAAGACGTCAAGAAAAAAAATATTTGATGATCTAGGGTTGATGGTTAAAAGAAATTTCAAAAGGTGGAGATAGGCTTATGAAACAGCAATTAAAACACATGGCATGTTTGGGCAGAATAAGCAATATAAAGAAGTACAAATATTTCAGGGGTCAGAAAAAGAATAAAAGAAAGGAAGAAAGGAGGAAAAAGGAACAAAGAAGAAATGTGAAGAAGAAAGTAGGTAATGGGGTGTAAAGAAAAGATAGAAGCCTCTAAATATCATGATAATAAGTTTTATCAACAGCAATAAAATAGAGTTCAGAAAATTAAAGGTATGGATGACTGCCAATTATGTAGGAAATAACTAACAGTCTAGGTTAAAAATGAAGAGGTCTGAGATAGGACAAACACAGTGGGATCAGTGAGGGACACTGATGGATTCCATGGGTTAGTAATGGGAGGACTTGATACCCAACTGGAAGTAATGGATGAGGGAGATGAACTCTTCAAAGATCATCTCAAGGTGTCTAGCTTACCTTACATTACTACCCTGTTTCCCCGAAAATAAGACAGTGTCTTATATTAATTTTTTCTTCTGAAGTTGCGCTAGGTCTTATTTTGAGGGAATGTCTTATTTTCGGGGAAACACGGTAGGAACATAGAGAGCACAAGGCATTACAATGAGGATTAGAGAAGGGATTAGCCAAAGAACATGTATGCATAACCACAGATACAGATAAGGGTGTGGTGACAGCCAGAGAGAAGGGGGGTTTGGCGATTGAGTGGAGCTGGGCAAAGGCAGGGAAAATGGGACATCTGTAATAGTATCAATAATAAAAATTTTTTTAAAAAGTATGTTTATAAATCTGAAAAGACATTTATTACACATTATGTTTTTAAAGTAGATAACAAAATAGTAGATACAACAATGATCCTGTTTTGACCAAAACACATACATACAGAAAAATATCAAGCATGACAGCACTTATCTCTAGATGGTAGAATTATTATGAATTTTTATTCTCTTCTATTTGACTTAGTTATAAGTTCTAATTTTTATAACAACTAGGTACTATTTGTATAGTAAAATCTGAAATAAAAATATATAGTAAATATAATAAAATACCCAAGTTATTTCATGTTGATTTCTAGATAACTCAAGACTTTTTTTAAAGATATATTTTTATTGATTTCAGAGTGGAAGGGAGAGAGAGATAGAAACATCAATGATGAGAATCACTGATTAGCTGTGTCCTGCACACCACCTACTGAGAATCAAGCCCATAAACGCAGACATGCGCTCTTGACCAGAATCGAACCTGGGACCCTTTGGTCTGCAGGCCAACGCTCCATCCACTGAGCCAAACCAGCTAGGGCTAATTTCAGACTTAATTAAAAAAAAAAAAAAAATTACAGCAAAAGCATAAACTGGCCAGTTGGTTTAGTTAGAATGTGCCTGAGTCTATGACTTGAACAGTAATAGGAATTATCATTAATCCCAAAACTGAGAAAATATCTATGTTGCTTAAATTTGACTTGCAGTTGATTACTTTTTGAAAAATAGATGTTTTATTGATTTCTTACAGAGAGGAAGGGAGAGGGATAGTTAGAAACATCAATGAGAGAGAAACATCGACCAGTTGCCTGCACACCTCCTACTGGGGATGTGCCTGAAACCAAGGCACATGTCCTTGACCGGAATCGAACCCGGGACCTTTTAGACAGCAGGCCGATGCTCTGTCTACTGAGCCAAACCGGTCAGAGCTAGTTGATTACTTTTAGGTAAGACAAGCCATGTCTAGAAATCAAAGCAGCTTTGATTTCTCCCTTTTCTTTGCCATCTCACTGCTGTCACTTTACAAAACTATAAAAGATACTGTATCCTCTTTCAATTGAATGTGGAAATCAAAGTAAAATAAGTGGAAACCATTTCCGAGACTCAGTCTCCTATGATTATTGTGTTTGCATTAATCTAAAGCTTTTGTGACAACTATTCTTGGCAATTCAAAAGCTTGTTTTAGTAATCTCCTTGGTCTTAATTAGGCAATACATCAGTGTAGTTAGATGGCCAAGTTCTGAACAGCTGAGATAACTATTCTCTTTGTTTAAAGCCACCATGCTTAATAAACACTTATCTACTAACTTATCGATACCAGTATAATTAAAAGAATTATTAAAAATGAACTGGAGAAATGCAAATTGGTATAACCATTTTTGAAAAGGAATTTGGCAACTGGCATCCAAAGCCATAGGGGTATAATATTATTTTATTCACAAAATCCCTTTAAAAATTAATCTTTAAAAAAAAGACTGATCTTTCATTTACTGAAGACCAGCACTCTTTTAGATGATCTGGTTATCTGATCCTTCAGTGTGCCAGAAGCTTGAGCACTCCTATCCCACACACACCTACTGGCGTTCCACCTGGACCTCACACACTGCCTACTTTTAGGAGAGGCACAGGTTTCACAGGGGAGAGAACAGCCACCACTCAAATGGGGATGCTGAGTGCCCCAGTCCGCTGAGCACTGGGACACTACTACTGAGGCCTCCCCTGACTCATATCTACAAGAAACAGGCTCCAGGGCCTCGTGGTTTGACCTTGTGGCTCCCTTCGGACAGATATATGCAGCTCAGGACGATCTCAGACAAGAAGGGATCTTTGGGTCTCCAGCCATTCCAGGTGAATTGTGTGGTGCAGATCCAATGAGGTGGTGTAGATGCATCTGTTCAGGCCCACCTCAGGACTTAGCTGGTACAGGGACTACCGACCCAAGATCAGAGTGGTTAAATCATCACGGCTGAATAAGATCTCTCTTGCAGTTAGTTCTCAGATTTCTAATTGTATCCTCACATGGTGTAAAGCCTAAAAATTATTAAGGAATAAGCACGAGTATATACAAAGATTATATCACAAAAATATTCATCCCAGTCAGTTTATATGGTAACAATGGAAATCAACTAATCCAATAGAGAAATGATTAAATAAATTATAGCATATTCATATAATGTAAAACTGCAGCCATGAAAAATTATGTTGGGATTCTTAGAAGATAATGACAGTGGTGGCACTTTTTTGAAATGCTCCAAATATTCCCATAAATACGGAAATTAGGACAGCAAATCCAAAATCCAATGAATATCATCTACAAAAAACTAGCTAACCTGGTGCTAAGAAAACCCAAATGCAAGCTAAAGACCTGTAAGGTATCAGCTTCTGTGGAGGAGCAAGTAATAGTGGATCTGCCTGACCTAAAAACCCTAAAGCAGTAAGCCGGTGCTAGGGGCAATCTAGGACAGAGAATTTGAGAAAGGCAGCCGGGTCTGCAATAAGATATGAAGAGCTGGAGCAGTCTGAACCTTAGAACTCTCAAAAGAAACCAAGCAAAGCCCCACATTAAGAAGAAACAACTGGCAACAGAATCCCAATTGAGTGGCACAGTAGAGGCTCAGGCACAAATGGAGGGGAAACAGAGCCAGGGGAAAGGAAAAACTCACTTCACAGACTCAGCAGAAGAGGGAACTCTAGAGCTATGAATGTAGACATACCTTATACCACCCCTTATTTCTTAAGTTCAGGAAACCTAATTTCACATAGTAAGAAGCCATAGAAAAGAAATGACTCCATATCCCACACAAAATAATTACAAGAAAATGCAGATTAAAGGATCACCAGAAAGATTTACCTACAAAATTGAGAACTACACCCCATTTTATCAAAACAAGCCTGTTAAGGGCATGTGCCCAGGTTGTGGGCTCACCCTCCCAGTAGGGGGTGTGCTGGAGTCAGCCGATCAATGATTCTCTCTCATCATTGATGTTTCTATCTCTCTCTTCCTCTCTAAAATAAAAAAATATATATATTTAAAAAAATAATTGCACTCTTTTACTTTTGCAACATTTTCATATTTAGGAATGTGTGACTGAATTTGTCTTCTCTGGGTAGTTCAATATTAAGATGACTTGGTTTAAAAGAAAAAAGAAAAACATCTCGCCGAAGCCGGTTTGGCTCAGTGGAAGAGCGTCGGTCTGGGGACTGAAGGGTCCCGGGTTCGATTCCGGTCAAGGGCATGTACAGTGGTTGCGGGCACATCCCCAGTGGGGGGTGTGCGGGAGGCAGCTGGTCAATGTTTCTCTCTCATCGACGTTTCTAACTCTCTATCCCTCTCAATTCCTCTCTATGTAAAAATCAATAAAATATATTTAAAAAGAAGAAAGAAAAACATCTCCCCATTAATCTCAATTAGGTTTCTGAATCCACCTACATTTTAGACTCTATTGAACAAAATCAGAAATCAAAGGCTCTATGAAAATTTTAAAGAAATAATTTTTTTTTCAATTTTGAAAATTATAAAGTATGCTTTAAATGAAAACTAAATATATAGAAAACATACCAATGAGCCAAAACCTAGGGTCCAAAAATGTTCATTTCGTACTTCCAAAACTCCATCCAAGGTGGATACCTGATAAAAAACACAGAAATAGGGTTGTTTGCATTTGACATATCTAACACAGGTCAGCTATACTCTGGACTTGCTTTGAGCCTAGGAATGACATGGCCAAACCCTGCCTGAGGACACTCATTAGCCGAGAGAGGCCCAGCGCACTACTTAAGATATCCTTTCCGCTTGTGTAGTAGAGCCATGACCTTATTTCCCCAGCTTCTTGTCTGCACCAATCCTTCTAGAATTGGGTCTTTACAGCTCCCACCCTGCCTTGTTCAACAGTGTGGCTCTTTTCATTTTATCAATATGGCATGTATGTATAGCCAGCACTTGTGCTATCAGGTTTTTTTTTCTCTTTTCTTTCTTCTCTATCATTTCTTTCTCTGAATTCCCTTTCAACAAATTTCTGCAAAACAAAGACTGTTCTTTGGATGTGGGTCAAAAGGAAATGCCAAGGCCAGATGCATAGTGTGTGGTCCCTGGTGCAGTGGCACAGGCTCCACTAGCCGAGACCTGTAACCTGCTCTCTTGATAAGGATGGCCTTTGTGATGCTGACAACAGATATTTTAAAACACCCTTCACATCCAAATAATTCCATTTTCTTGCTCTTTCATTAGTTGGCAGGTGGAAATGTGTAACAATCCAAAAATCTAAACCCACAATGAAGACATTAGATGGTGAAGCAATCAACAGATTTAAAAAAAAAAGAGCACTGATTTAATCAAATCCTTAAGTGTTATTATAGAATCGTAAAAGTTATAGCATTGATATAGGTAGGAGAGTAGTCTATAGATCATTACCTTTCACATCTATTTCAGGTGAATTTGGCTTCCAGACTGAGCAATCCTCAATCTTTCTGCTTTTGTCACTATGTTATGCTTCCTAATGAGTTAAGAACACAAACGCCCCTAAAATTCTAGATAGGGTTTTGTTGAATACAGTATTTTTTGTACCCATTCTTTGCATTCTCTAATTATTAATTTAAATGATTTTATTATTCCATCTTACCTCTCTGAGAAGTTTGTCCAACTGACCAATAACATGGGGTGGTGTTGTCTGGGGGGGAAATAAAACATACATCAAGGGAGATAAAAATTGTTTTGCAATAATGGTCCAGAAACAAACATGGGTCTATACCAACCTTTGCTTTGTTTGACGTGTACCCTATCATGATTTTGGAAAGAGAGTATTCAACTGGCCCAGTAGTGGGACAACATCAAAAACTAGCACATTCTCACTTCTGATCTTAACAAAGAAGCTGCTATCTCTAGAATAAAATAAGCCTTAAAGAACCAGACACTCAACAAAAAACATTTAAGAAAGTAACATTTTATATAGTGTATGGCACTAAACAACTATTATCTTATTGTTATTTACTGGTCCAGGAGATGAAGATACTGTAAGTTTAAGAAAAGGCATGAAGCCAAAACCGGTTTGGCTCAGTGGTAGAGCGTCGGTCTGCGGACTGAAGGTCCCAGGTTTGATTCCGGTCAAGGGCATGTACGTTGGTTGCGGGCACATCCCCAGTAGGGGTTGTGCAAGAGGCAGCTGGTCGATGTTTCTTTCTCATTGATGTTTCTAACTCTCTATCTCTCTCCCTTCCTCTCTGTAAAAAATCAATAAAATATATTAAAAAAAGAAAAAAAAAGAAAAGAAAAGGCATGAGGTAAAGATAGAAGGAAAAGCAAGGCTGGGAAACTACCTCTCCATTCAGGTACTTGTCTATAGATACCTGGACTTGTCCCACTGTTTTAATAACTAATAATTTGTCACTTAAAATTTTAAGTTTGAAATGTAAAATTCTCACTGATTCAATCACAGAGAGAGAAAAAAAAAAAGAAAACAATCATAACCAGATTATACAAAAATTTATACAAATTAGAGGAAAATAAGTACCTAAATACTTTTATTTTTATTTTTAAAAAATATTTTATTGATTTTTTACAGAGAGGAAGGGAGAGGGATAGAAAGCTAGAAACATCGATGAGAGAGAAACATTGACCAGCTGCCTCCTGTACATCCCCGGGGGATGTTCCCGCAACCAAGGTACATGCCCTCGACTGGAATTGAACCTGGGACCTTTCAGTCTCCAGGCCAACGCTCTATCCACTGAGCCAAACTGGTTTCGGCTATCTAAATACTTTTAAAAAGTAAGTAACATTGTTTTCAATTGAAACATTATTAGAGATAAAAACATTTAATTTATAATTTTGTTTTATATTACAAATATAGGAATATTTGTGCTTATTTCATGGGCCCATGTAATTTCATCTAGTTTGCAGTGTACAAATTTCAGAGATTCTTGTTTGGCTTCATTTCTAAAAGCCAAAAATTTCACAACCTAGTAGAAGAACACAAACAATTTTATAATCTGGCAGGAGAATGAGGCTAATATTAAGCATGCACACTAAAAGAAGACCCTTACCTGGAGTAACACTTTCCCACTGTACACGCTCATGGGATACATAGTGCCAAATGTCATCAAAGCAATTGCTATGGCAGAGGCAGTGTCTACAGCAAAGTAGTTACTAAAAGAAAAAAAGAATTCTAAATTGTAAATGTATGCCTCACTCAACTTCTTACAATTAAGTCTACCGAACATTAATTACCTAAAGGACCATTTTATTACAGATGAGCATTACTTGCAATTGGAACATCTCAAAGGAAAACAGAAAGTTATCTGAATTGTTTCTTGCCAAAGTTTAATGGGGGGAAAAACTGATTATGTGAATTAGTGTGAAGAGATGATGATGAAGAAGATAAATGTGAGCATTTCCTTACTACTTTCAGTCAATCTATTTGTCAACTAGGAAGATTTCATACATGTTCACTTACTACAACAAATAAAAACCCTTCAAATAGTAATTTCTGATACAGAGACACTAATGACTTCGTCAGTGATTCTATTAGTTTTCCTGTAAATAATAATTTTCCAATAATTACTATTAAAATTTTTCAAAATTCACCAGGAGTTTCACAAAGTGAGATTCTTCTGGGGTGTAACATCTCAATAGTTCAGAATGTTCTACTAAGATAAACCCAAATCCCCATGGTGACAAGCATGCTTTTTAACTTTTCCCCACATGCTGGAATAGAGACATTGAGTTAAAACCTAGTTCCTGCCTTTGAAATAGCAGGAAAAACACACGTGGAAAACATTATAAAGCCCTTTGCAGGCAAAGAAGTCCCTACGGAGAATCATGGATGCACATAGGAATGAGTGTCAAGGCTACTGGGGGAGAGATAATCCAGAAAGGCTAAATATAAAAGAGGTGACATTTGAACTGAGTTTGCAAAGAGGAGTGAGACGATGGAAGGAAGAGACTGTAGACTTTGAAAGCAGCATGTGCAAGGCTCTGATGGGGTAGCTCAGTTGGTTAGGGTGTAGTCCTAAAAAGCCAAAGTTGCAGGTTCAATCTCTGGTCAGGACACATACAAGAATCAACCAATGAGCCGAAACCGGTTTGGCTCAGTGGTAGAGCATCGGTTTGCGGACTGAAAGGTCCCAGGTTAGATTCCGGTCAAGGGCATGTACATTGGTTGCGGGCACATCCCCGGTAGGGGGTGTGCAAGAGGCAGCTGGTCGATGTTTCTCTCTCATCGACGTTTCTAGCTCTCTATCCCTCTCTCCTCCTCTCTGTAAAAAAATCAATAAAATATATTTAAAAAAAAAAAAAAAGAATCAACCAATGAATGCATGAATAAGTAGAACAAATGAGGATTAAAAAAAAACAACAACAAAAACCAACTGCTTCACATCTACTTCCTCTTCTCTTCCCTCTATCAGAAATAGCAAGCTGTGGCTCATTTCTCTTATTTTATGGTCCTCCTGTGTTCCACTCATCAATTAGCAGTAGGGAATTAATTTGACAGTATAGATTGTAATAGAAAAATATTTACTGAATACAACTCCTGTACTTTTTCAGATGAAGCCACTTGAGGACAAGACATGATGAAAATTACATAGGTCATAAGCATACGTGCTCTAAGCTTAATCCTTATCCATCCCATCGATAACCTTAATAGTCAGTCCTCAGGAATGGAAACACATTTTACAGAAATAAAAAATACTTACTTAATTTCAATTAGCATATATGTAATACAAAGAGCAAATGCTCCTGCAAGATCGATCAAAACAAATGGATTCATTCGAGGAAGGAAGACACTGCTGAGTCCTGGAATAATTCCACACACGCTGTGAGTAAATCAAACAAGAGTATTCTTAGCTAGCAGAATTACGTGATACTGATGAAAATCTTATAAAAGATGACTGTCTTTTAATATCATATATCTTTTAAAGAAAGCAGAGGATTTGGCAACAAAGCTCACTCATAAAGATCTCTCTTATAACATCAATTAAAACGAAAAAGGAAGAATAAGATCTGTGAAATTCATATATTAACCTCAGCAATGAATCGTGCACGTTCCCATGACATAGGCATTTCTTGTGCATTCCTTTAAAATCATGTATATCTTGCCCCATAACATCTTACCTTCGACTAAGATCGGCAACATGCTCTTGAAGCCAACTTGTACTGGCAGCTTTAAGAAGAAAATACTAAATTATCTATATAGAAGAAATCACTACCAAAAATACTTGATTTCTTGAATGTTCAAAGTAGATTTGGCAACAATCCACCTAACATTACAAAAGGACACATCATCCCTCAAATATAGAACTTTTTCCTCTTTTACGCCTTTAAGATACTAGATCAAAAACAGTTTTGACTACAATATGTGGTTGACCTGAAGGAATTAATGATGTTACACATACCATTACTATTAATTTGAAGCGTCAAAGGCTCTTTACACTGTAAAGCATAAAGAGTCTTCTAAGCTGAGAAAGGGTTATAAGTACACCAACTATTAATTCCCTCAGCTCTCAGAAAGGCTGGGGGGGGGGGGGGCCTGGCTACTTCCAAAGACACCTAGTACCATGTTTCCCCGAAAATAAGACATCCTCTGAAAATAAGACCTAGCGCATGGAAAGATAAGACATCCCCTGAAAATAAGACCTAGTGCAACTTTGGGAGAAAAAAATTAATATAAGACACTGTCTTATTTTCGGGGAAACAGGGTAGGTAGTGCCCCTGGGCAAGCAGCCTCCAGGCTCAAATTTCCTCTTACAGTTACTCCAGGAGCTAAGAATATTCATTTTTAATGTACTCTCTGAGAGAAAAGAAAGAAGACTGCCAAACCTTACACAAAAGCCATTATACTGGTGGTAGAACAGTTCGGAGCAGCTCCAGAAGCCAGAATACCTGACTTCAAATTCCATCCTCCCTTTTCTAGATGTATGGCCTGCCTCAGGCTTCAGTGTAAAATGAAAATATTACAATAATTTATCTCATGGTTATAGGGAGAAATGGGTTATTCCATGTAAAGCATTTAGCACAATGCCTAGTAGATACTATTTTCCAGTCAAATTTTAGCTAACATCACAAATCATGATGTTTCTGGGAACTTTTATTTCCAACTAATGAAAATACAAACTAGATAACCGTTTTTGGAAATGAGTTTGGTAATATATTTCAAAGCTTTTAAAAATACTGTATTTTTAGCCGGAACCGGTTTGGCTCAGTGGATAGAGCGTCGGCCTGTGGACTGAAAGGACCCAGGTTCGATTCCGGTCAAGGGCATGTGGCTTGGTTGTGGGCACATCCCCAGTGGGGGGTGTGCAAGAGGCAGCTGATTAATGATTCTCTCTCATAATGTTTCTAACTCTCTATCCCTCTCTCTTCCTCTCTGTAAAAAATCAATAAAATATATATTTAAAAAAAATAAAAATACTGTATTTTTAATCCATTTATAATTTATCTCCTGATATTTATTCTACATGCATACAAGAAATTTAATACAAAAAAAAGGGGGGAAATTTTCTCAGGTGAGAATTAACCAAAAATAAATACATATAAATAAGTCTGGTCATCACAAGTATTATTTAATTTTCAAGTTCATGCAGTAAACTCTAAAACTCTCACTCATACAAATATAACTCATACTTTATGACATTAACAAAGTTGTTTAAATGTGAATGGGCATTTCAGTAAGTTTTCTTCTTGATTATCCTGGTGTTCAAGCCAGGGAGACCTAAAAAGACCGGTCTCTGCTTTAAAATGTAGGTCTGTGCCCATGGCCCACTTTTGTTTATGCCTCATCTCTTCATCAATGGCTGGTTAACCATTTACACCACTGAAGTAAAATAACCAGCCTGAATTTGTAAAGACTTAAAAATAAAAGAATATTTCATGATAAAAATAACTTTTGTTACATGAAAATAAGCCAGCCCACCTACCACTGCCAAAGAGAAGTACCTGAGAACTTTAATTACTAGAGGCTCGATGCATGAAGATTCGTGCATGAACGGGCCTTCCTTCCCCTGGCTGCTGAAACAGCTTTAGCTCCAGCCCGTAGCCCCCTTTCTGCCTTCCCACACTGCCCAGAGGCCTGGAGTGACTGGGGCGGTGTGGGAAGCCTGCGTCCCACACTGCCTCCACCACTCAGTGCCTACATATGCAAATGAACCCACCATCTTTGTTGAGTTAATTTGCTTACCCACCCCTGATTGGCTGGCGGGCATCACAAAGGTATGGACAATTTATATCTTACTCTTTTATTAGTGTAGATTGAAATTAATTCTTTTTCAATGAGCACATCAACTATTCTAAATATCATGAACTCTTAGAATGCTTGCAATACACTTTTTGTAGGTAGGTTATATATATAAAATTTCATTCATGTTATTTGATAAGTGTAATTTTTCATCACATTTAATTAATTAAAATGTTTTTATTGATTTTTTTTTTTAGAGAGAGAGGAAGGGAGAGGATAGAGAATTAGAAACATTGATCAGATGCCCCCTACTGGGGATGGAGCCCCAAACCTGGGCATGTTCCTGACTGGGAAACCAATCAGGGACCTCTTGATTCATGGGTCCACATTCAACCACTGAGCCACACCAGCTGGGCACATTTCATTTAATATATGTTAATCTTACCCGTTTTTAAGTAATGAAGCTTGAAGTAATTAGATTTTGTTTTATAGTTCTCTGCTTAAAGAAAACTTGAATACATCTGCGGTAGTTCTCTCTTCTCTTCAGAATGTATTTTCTCATTGAGTTATAAGTTAATGAAACAAACAAAAAACTTGTTTTTATGAGATTAATTAAATTTTTTATTAATGGTAAAAATCTTACCTTCTGAGACATAAGCAAAAGGTTTATTCCGAATAGAAAGCATTGTGAATAGGTTGAATGAAAGAGCCACAAAAGTACCAACTAATAATCTTCCCCTAAAAGAGAACAATAACATTCACCATTATTTTTTTTCTTGGTAATATCAATATGTAATTTTGGCATGTAGAGAGACTAAGAAAGACCTGGGAAGGCAGAGTGGCCTGCTTGTATGGTTTGGTATTAGCAGAACCAGAATCTGAACTTGGTCTCTAGCCCTTAAAACCATGTGCTGTCTACTGTTGCTCCACCCTACACAAGACAAAAAAAGACTCTTAGCATTAGCACTATCTTCTTACAGGTAACTGCTGTTATAAATGTGTATAAATGCATTTGGTTTATAATACACTGGACAGGTCAGACTGTCCTGAATTAAAGTGACCAAAAATAGATGAAGTCCAAATAGTTGGCAACCATATGGGAAATAACAATTTCTACAGGTGCTACTGTAGAAGATTTTGAGAATCAAATTATAGAAGAGCAGATGGGACAGGAAATAATGAGGGACCTGAAGCCACGGTAGAGAGGCCTTGCTCTGCAGTACAACGGCTTGGGAACAGTAAGGGTGAAAAGAAGGAATATTGGGATTTGGAGATTTTGTTTGTGAAATACCAACGAAATGAACTCTGCCATTCTCTGAACTCTAATACTGACCAAAGTAACAGCTATTTAATAATATACCAATTAAGTTAGTAATAGTAAATTATATGTTATGTCAAAAGCAAAATCTTACGTGTGTATCTCGGGCTGGTCCAAAAAGCGTTCTACACTAAAAGAAAGAAATAATGCATTAAATAAGTCCTATAAATTATAAAATTTTATAAAAGCTTTATTAAACATATTATTAACCCAATAAATTCACTAAATCTTTAATATGAAGCCAACTCTTATTAGCAATAATAAGGCAAGGAGATTCATTATCTGCAATATGTAATGTCAGTCTTTCTCTACCAGACCTATTTCAATGGGTTTGTAGTACTAAGCATTACAGCACATCTCAATGAATCTTTCTTTCATTCAAGCCTACCTATAATTGGATTCAGTAGCCTCAAAGGTCATGAAAGAGGATAAAAAAGAGGGAGAGTAGTCTAAAATATGAAGAAACTGTACTATCAAAACTCCAGCACTGCTCCTTTTAATTCATATACCCTATAAACCAGACTGTCTCTCACTGATTCTTTATGTTCCCAAAGGCAGCACAGATGGAATTTAGAATGACAGTAACATAATACACAAGTGTACCTTTCTTTTAATATAAAGAGAGCTCCCAACTGTGCCAGGACTGTGGAGGCAAACACAGCCAGGACTTCTAATCTTTCAAATCTGAAATCAGAAAATTCATTAGGTCAGCATAGTTCTTTCAATTCACAAAGCAGTACCATCAGAATACATTTACATTCATGTATTCACTCATTCAATATGCTAGTAAATATGTGCTTACTCTAAGCCAACCATGATTAGAACAGACTACGGAGTTTCTCAAATAAACATACAGATAAAAAGAGTGTCTATTTGTACAACATATATTCCCAGGACTCACTTATGGCTTATATTTCTGGAAATAAATGTTACTTAATTAACAGCTAACATTTAATTGACTCATCTCGTATTAGATAAGGTCAAAGTGTTTAACATATTACCTCATTTTACCTCCCAACACTTTATGAGGGTTACTTTATCCACTTAAAAAAAAAAAAAGAGAGAGATAAGAAACTTGAAACATGAAGAGAAAAAGTAACTGTTGAGAGTCAGATAACTAACAAGTGGAGGAGTCAGGTTTTTGAACTCCGGCACTCTGGCTCCCAAGTCCAGGGTTTTAACCACTTATTATACTTATACACATAATTACTAAATTATCATAGTCCCCGTTTTCCCCCCCAAACTAATTTTGAGTTGGATTTCTTTCACTTAACAATAAAAAGACTTGGCTCAGAGTCACAGATTTCCAAATACAGTTATCTATACCTGACAATTGATCATCATAGTAATAATCCAATTCTATCAAATTTCAGTGACATATCTTCATTTTGCATTACATCTTATATTGACTTTGTCCCACTGTTTAAGTAGAAACAAAACAAAACCAATCCTAATTTTGTTCAAAAGAATATAATCCCAATGAATGATATAGTGAAGATTGAAGAGTAAGTTTGGTCCAAGAATTTTTTATTTTATTTCTTTTTTTAATATATTTTATTGATTGTAAAAAGAGAGGTAGGGAGAGGGAAGAGAGTTAGAAACATTGATGAGAAACATCAATCAGCTGCCTCCTGCACACCACCTACTGGGGATGTGCCTGCAGCCAAGATACATGCCCTTGACCGGAATCCAATTTGGGGTCCTTCAGTCTGCATGACGACGCTCTATCCACTGAGCCAAACCGGTCAGGGCTGGTCCAAAAATTTCTTTACCAAAGTAAAATTCTTTTTTCAAGTTGTTTCCTTAAGCTGAAAGAACTCATATTTTTCATATATATATATATATGAGTTCTTTCGATTATATATATGTGTGTGTATCTATGTATATATACCCATATATACATGTTTCAGAGGAAGGGAGAGGGAAAGAGATAGAAACATCAATGATGAAACAGAAAATAAAATAATTTGAACTTACCCAAATGAATAGACAGGGCTGGGTTTCCTCATCATTACCCAGTAACTTATTAAACATGTCATTAAACTAAATAAAAAGGAAAATAAATTTAATGTTAGATCGACAACTAGAAGAGAATATGCAGGGAGAAATTAAATTTTCAGAATTCCTAAATTGCTGAAAGTTATCACTATTTATACAGACTAAATTAACTTATTTAATAAGTTATAATCTATTCACAAACATGGCAGTTTTAACTGTGAAGAAAACTGAAAGAGGATGATACATGATTAAGTCAGTTAAACAGAACTAAATCCATATCTTCTCTGCTCAATAACTTATCCACCCTAAATAGTTTCCATAATTGAGTATGCAAAAAAATGACACAGTAATAATAACTAATATATTTCATCCTAGGCATATATAATAAATCTTAACTTTCATAAACTTTATTTAATTTTTGATAAAATGTAAGCTAAATATTAACAACACCTTGACAACATTCTGGATGAGACAAAATGATGTTTATTTTCTAAGTATAGTGGAGATTCACTCTAAAACAACTTACTTCATGTAAATTTCAGGTAATTCAATTCAGATGGTTTTAGACCAATCAAGTGGACTTAATTATGTGATTAATGTAAAAACACCCTTATGACATATTTCTATGGCATAGATCTTGAAGATATAAATGTATTTTGCAACACTGATATGGAAATATGAAAAGCCCCATGGGAATATGAAAAGCCAATAGACTGTCTCTCTAGCTCATAATTACTCACTTCTTGGCTACTGATGCCCCTCATTTAATGTTTCTCCATATACAGTTACAGTGGAACCTAATACATTTTTATGTGATCCTGCTCCCTAGTCACAGCTGACTCACTCACAGGCAGGCACTGAAGCACTTGATCTAATGCCAGGATATTATCTTTTCTGTTGCTATGTAAATGAGATATTTTCTTCCAGTATATATGCTAATTTGTTTGTATATATGTTCTATATTGATCATTTTACTTATTTCACAGATTACTTTTCTTTAAGTAAAGAAAACAGTAACAAATTCTTTATTAGTCTCAAAATATTAGGTTTTTAAAAACTTACCTAAATAGATCAAAAATGGTCAGGTAAGTATAGGCAGTTAAAGCTGCAAAACAATGAAAATGTTGCTGAATCCACTGCTAAGAAATATAGCAAATCAAAAAAATTGTTCATTACCTCACTGCACCATAAAAATTTGAGTTATTTATTAATTGCACAATTTGTCAATTATTTAGCAAATTTGATTAATATATGTAGTCAAAGTTAGTACAAAAGCTTCCTTTCAAACCTACTTTCTCCACTGGAAAAATAAAGACCTGTGACCACATTTTTTGCCTTCTTCTGTCATCTAAGTACTGTTTAAAATATATTCTTTGAGTAGCAGGATGAAAAACTATGGTACATAAAAATATAAGCATTCCAGACACAATAAAAAAATTACATGTTTCTCCTTTAAAAAAAAATCCAATAAGTCTCAAAATTCTACTTATAAACTGCATAGACCAAAGTACTAATATAGCACAATAAGAAGAAATCTCAATTTTTCAAATAGATTTAAAGTATTTAAAAAATATATAGCTCATTCCAAAAGATAATGCCTAACAAATGAGCAAAACAATAGTTTTCAAACCAATTTTCATACAGATTTTTCCATTTAAATTTTTTTAGTTATATTTCAGAATAATATATTTTAGGTAAAAGAAGCTGTACCTTTACAAAAATCAGAATCATAAGTCCTGGCTGGGTAGCTCAATTAGTTTCAGCATCATCCTGACACACCAAGGTTGTGGGTTCTATCCCCAATCAAGGAACATATAAGTGGAACAATAAATTGATGTTTCTCTATCTATTTCCCTTCTTCTCTCTCACAAATCAATTTTAAAAGTCAGAATAATAAAAGTGGCCCGGTCAGTGTTGGCTCAGGGGTTGAACGTCAATCTATGAATCAGGTCACAATTCAATTCCTGGTTAGGGCCTGGGTTGCAGGCTTGATCCTCACTGAGGGGGGTGGGGGTGTGTGTGCAGGAGGCAGCTGATCCATGATTCTCTCTCATGGTTGATGTTTCTATCTCTCTCCCCCTTCCTCTCTGAAATCAATCAATAAATAAATAATAAAAGTGAAAACTAATAATTAACACAACAAAAAGTAAGATTGGTGACATACCTATACTATTAGTGGAACTGCACCACATAAGCAGGAAGCCAGTACATGTTAAGTTTATTACACCAAAGAGCAATATCTTCCAGGTCTGTGAATAAGAAAATCATTCTTATTTGCATACTGCTGATAAATTTCACCAAATCCGTTCAAGTTGTTATAGTTCATACTTTTAATATTCAAAGGAATAAGTGCAACTTACTTCAAATGTCAAAGTGTCACATTTTCTAGATTTATCAAAATTATCATTAACCAAGGTGCATATATTATAATATATAAATGTAAAAGAATAATTCCAAAAGGGGAATTTCTAAACCCTAGCCAGTTTGACTCAAGTGGATAGAGCGTAGGGCTGTGCACTAAAGGGTCCCAGTTTCGACTTTGGTCAAGGGCATGTACCTTGGTTGCAGGCTGGATCCCTGACCCCAGTCGGGGTGAGTGGAGGAGATAGCCAATCGATGTGTCTCTCTCACATCGATGTTTCTCTCTCTCTATCTCTCCCCCTCTCTTCTACTCTCTATAAAAAAAAATGGGAAAAATATCTTCAGGTGAAGATTAATAAAAATAAAATCCTATATAATAAAAGGCTATTGTGCAAATTTTCCCCTCAGGAGTTTGACTGACAGGGAGTTCGACAACTTGCTATGAGATGAGCGGACCACCAGGAAGCAGCGTGGAATGAAGGAAGGCCTTGATTGCAGGGCAGGCCTAGGGACCCTACCCGGGCACGAATTTTGTGCATTGGGCCTCTAGTAAATTCATAAATACAAACATACAGACATACATAAATTCTGACACATAAATTAAAACATCATTTTGTTTCCATAAAAAAGGTACATAAAGACAGTGATAAAGCAAATGGAGCAAAATGTAAGCAATTGTGAATCTGAGTATAGGGAATAAGGGAGTTCCCTATATTAATTTTGTAATTTTGAAATTATATAAATAAAGTTACCCATCCCTCCCCAAAGGGCAGTACTTATTTACCAAATAAATTATATGCAGTAGGACCACATAAGGGGGAAAGATTATCAGAGTTTGGAAGTTCATAGAAGAGAGAGGACCTGAGATACACCTTGAAAATAGCTAGGAATTAATTAGAAGGAAAAAAAAGGGCATTCTAAAAATAAAGAAAGAAGAGATTGAGTGAAGTGTTTTTTATTTTTGTCCCACTCCACTCCCTACAAGGAAAGGAGACGTATGATTACTTTAAAGTAGAGTTGTAAGAAATTAGTGAGAAGGCAGTTATTTGGAAATATTAAAATTAAGCAGATATGCTCAGCTGGCGGGTTCAGTGGTTGAATGTTGACCTATGAAACAGATCATGGCTCGATTCCCCATTAGGGCATATACCCGAGTTGAGGTGGGATTAAGAGATTTCTATTTGCCTTAAAAATTACCCTTTTTCAATGTCATGTTTGTGCAAATATTAAAATTAGGTTAAGGAATAAAAATAACTTACCCTTCTGTCAGCTGCTACAAGTCCAAATTCCTGTAATAACTTTCCAAAAAAAGATCTTTGTGGTTTTCGAAAGAGATGAATTGTCCCCTTTAAAACAAACAAAAATATACAAATCAGTACTTAGGTATCTATTCTTCATAGTTCTGTGATAATATAGTAATAACAACTAACATTTATTGAATGCTCAATACGTGTCACTTATTCTAGACACCTTACATATATTTATCTACTTAACGCTCACAATAATTCTATGAGGGGAAAATTTTTTAGTAAGTTTTCCAAGGGCACAATGATAGTAAGTAAATGGCTGATGAGAACTTCAAAGCCAGAGATTTTAACTACAGCCCATACTTCATTGGGTAGGGCAATTTTGAACCAGAAAAGCAAAGAGTTTGTTAAGTAGCTCTCCTGGAAAGAAAAATATTACAATTTTTTACAAATATTAACAATCAAATATTACAATCAAAACTTTATATATGAAAGGGTTGGTAAAACTCACTTAGTGAAGCCTCTGAGGCTCTCTCTTAGGCATTCAAAGTACCTTATGTTGGTGGCTCCTGCGAGCACATGGTTTGGGGCTAGCGGAGACCAGGCCTGGCAGTATGGTGACCAATAAGAGAAGAGACTGAGTGATGACTAGAGTGGGGATAATGATTCAAGATCAGGACACCATGTGGGAAAGCCTTAGCATAAAGGAGAGTTCCAGCACACATGGAAAATTAGCTCATGATTATGGCAGTGTCCAACATCATGGGAGAAAATATGAGTTAATCAATAAACATTGATTAGAAAAAGGTAAATCTGGATCCTTACTATACCCTTTATTCTAATTTTTTTCTTTTAAAATTTTTACTTATATTTCAAAATGTGTGTTGTTTTAAAATTAAAATACAAAACTATGAATGTAACATTTTACAATCTTGGAGTTGGAGAAGACTTTTCTATTTATTTATTTATTTATTTATTTATTTATTTATTTCAGAAAGGAAGGGAGAGGGAGATAAATAATGAGAGAATCATCGATTGGCTGCCTCCTGCACACCCCCTATTGTGGATGGTTCCTGCAACCTGGGCATGTGCCCCTGTGCGGAACTGAATCCGGGACACTTCAGTCCTTAGGCTGATGCTCTACCCACTGAGCCAAACCAGCTGAAGACTTTTCTTAATATTATAGGACATAAAACCAAGAAGCTAGGAAGGAGAAAAAAATGATCAGTTTTACTATAACTTTCACATTGGGAAGACAATACCCTAAATACAAACAAAAACCTGAAAAGATAAACTGAAAAAAGAAATCAAGTGCAATTGTTTCTGGGGGGTAGGGGGGAATCCTTCATAATTTTCAATGGTCATACATAATTTTGTTGCTAAGTGCCACATTTGGGTTTAACAAAATACTTTCCTAGATGGTAAAGGTTATATATCCACCTTAACAATATACTACATTTCCTCTTCACTAAAGTTGTCCAATTTGACTCAAACACTGAAGCTCTATGGAAAGCAGTAGAACTGGGTATCAGGTTAAAACTCATTATATTTTCTCTTCTTTCTGTATGTTTGAAGTTTTCCATAATAAAAAAAATAATAAAGTAAGAAGTACTTTATGTATAAAACCCTAAAGTGCTAAGTCAATTCAGTTGAAAAGAAAATATACTATTTTCCTTTGGAACAGTAATAAATGCTAATAAGTATACTCTGTTCTTAAAGAACTATGTGTGGAATATTTTGGTTCCTAAGAGAATTCTGCTTACTACTGTTATCACTGGGTATCTTCTAACTTCAGCCCACCTTCAATTATTTAAGTTTTAAGTTAAGACAATAAATATGAATAAGAGACAGGGGGCCATTTATTTCTTGCTTTTTTAAAAATATGTATTTTATTGAGTTTTTACAGAGAGGAAGAAAGAGGGATAGAGAGCTAGAAACATCAATTAGCTGCCTCCTGCACAACCCCCACTGGGGATGTGCCCGCAACCAAGGTATATGCCCTTGACCGGAATTGAACCTGGGACCCTTCAGTCAGCAGGCCGACACTCTATCTGCTGAGCCAAACCGATTTCGGCCACAGGGGCCATTTCTAATACCAATCTGACATTGAAAATAAAATAAAAATCCTAACATTCAGGTCACTCCCAAATTATATTGGCTCTCCATTGCTATTAGGCTAAACTTCAAATTTTAAAATCTGGAAATCAAAGCTTTCAATGATTTAGCCTGTTTCTTTTCAGTTTTTATCTCTTGCTTCAGACAGGAATTCACAACTCTAACTAGACAGGTGTACCTCATGGATGAGGATTTCACTTTCAAGTGAAAAGGCAAGACTTGTCTAGCCCAGTGGTCGGCAAACTGCGGCTCTCGAGCCACATGGGGCTCTTTGGCCTCTTGAGTGTGGCTCTTTCACAAAATACCACAAACTGGGTGAGCCTATTTTGAAGAAGTGGCGTTAGAAGAAGTTTTAAGTTTAAAAAATTTGACTCTCCAAGGAAATTTCAATAGTTGTACTGCTGATATTTGGCTCTGTTGACAAATGAGTTTGCTAACCACTGGTCTAGCTCAAGCTCTAAAAGCCCTGGAACACTTGGCAAGTTACGTGACCTGTTTCCTGACCAAATGAGAGTAATGCCTAGTAGGTCCAGAGTATTAGAGTAAGGCAGGATGTGCTCAATTGCCATGTTTCACTCCTACATGAAGCCTTTGTAAATTACTCTACACTAGTGTCTTTTTTATGCTTACTTCGAACTTAACCATAGGATAGTTTTCATCTCGTCATCTTGCAATGTAAGGTAATTTTTTAGTAACTGCACTAATGAAAAGGGTTATAGTTCCTTTACATTTTCTAAGATAGCACTATGCTTTACACAACATAGCATGTTTTTTTTAATAATAACTAATGGGGAACTGATAAGATTTCTTCCCAAAAACTTTAAAAATAAACCTTTAATGTTCTATGTCCCTATATTACTATTTCAAGCATAAAAATTCATTACCAGTTACTTATTCGATGTTTTATAGAACATATATTTGTTGTAAACTTCCTCTGTACAAGGCTCTGGTGATAAGAGCAAATACATTGGTACTGCTCTTAAAGAGCTTACAGTCTAGCCTTAACCAGTTTGGCTCAGTGGATAGAGCATGGGCCTGCAGACTAAAGGGTCCCAGGTTCGCCGAGACCGGTTTGGCTCAATGGATAGAGCGTCGGCTTGGGGACTGAAGGGTCCCAAGTTCGATTCCGGTCAAGGGCATGTACCTTGGTTGCGGGCATATCCCCAGTAGGGGGTGTGCAAGAGGCAGCTGATCGATGACACTCTCTCATCGATGTTTCTAACTATCTCTCTCCCTTCTTCTCTGTACAAAATCAATAAAATATATTTTTTAAAAAAATAAAAAAAATAAAGGGTCCCAGGTTCAATTCCAGAAAAGGGCATGTACCATGGTTGTGGGCACATCCCCAGTAGGGGGTGTGCAGAAGGCAGCTGATGGATGTTTTTAACTTTTTATTCCTCTCCCTTCCTCTCTGTAAAAAAAATTATTATTATTTTTTTTAAAAGAGCTTACAGTCTGGAAAGTACAAAAGACAAGTAAATATCCAATTTTACCATAGCCTGATAAGGGCTATAGATATTATTGGTATAAAGCCCCACATTATCATGGAAGCATAAAGGAGACACATGGCAGAAAGGCTCATGAAAGAGACTAAATAACAGGTAAGGGTTATACTGATATAATTTTAATACTGATAAGGATGGGGGATAGGAGATGAATGATTCTGGCAGGTAGAATAGTAAATAAAATTAGGTGCAGAACTGCAAGCAGCTCACTGTGGCTGGAATATAGATGTATGAATGAGTAAACAGAAGCTGTTGTGAGACGCTTCACAACAGACGGCTTTGCAGGTCATGCTAAACAGCACTCTAGACTTTAAGCAAGGGAGTGGCATAATCAAATTTTATAAATGTAACTCTGGCTGCACAGTGGTGAATGTTCTGAAGAGTGCAACTGGAGGCTATTTGGTCAGCCAAAAAAGTAAACGTTTACCCTCTTTCTGGGTGAAAGGAGGGATTACAGGAAATTCCCAAAAGATAGAGGATGTAAACATTTTCCCAAACATATTCATTCAAGAAAAAAAAAATTTAATAAGAGTGACAATGATGTAGGCACAAACATGTGGTCCTTCTCTCACATGCAGGCTACCCATAAGGAGTCCAATCATTTTTTTTTTTTAGGCCAATCATTTTTAAAATAAAACGTTTTGAACTTCTTTTGACCCTGAAATCACAATCAACTGCTTATCTTTAGATAACATTCAGAGTACTGCATACTCGATTTCCAAAAGGATGAAATGACAAATAATCCACCTAATAAGATTCCACGCCATAAGGCATTCCGGGGTTTATGATCACAGAAAAAAAGCTGCCTGCCATCCGATGCTCTACCAACAACCTTGACTTTCTCCACTCACTGGCCCTCTGAAAGCTGCTGCCTCAACAGGCCATCTGGTGCTCCATCAAGGCAAGTGGCAGAGTGGGTCATCGCCCTCTCCGTATGTGCCATGGCTAGGGTCCCTGCTGTCAACATCACTATGACGGTCGTTCTGCTGTGCCCTTATTTCCCGATCTTCAGTCGGTGCGGGGGCCGCTAAAGACCTGTGTGTTGTATCTGAAGGAAACCTCGGCAGGAGGAAGCCATCTGCAGCCAGGAGCTGAAGGCCCGGCCTGGAGCCGCCCGGCGCCCCCGGGGGCAAAGGAACAAGGTGAGGGAGCGCGGAGGATCAGAGCTCTGGGGGCAATCTTTGCGGCGCCGGCCGCTCCTCCCGGGGCGGGGGGCCCGAGCACAACTCCGAAGCCCCCTCCTCCGGGCAGCTGCGGCCTTTCCCGGAGCCGCAGGACGGAGAAGGGGAGAGGATTACCTGCACAAACCCTCCTCCCCCTCGGCCAACTCACCATGGTAAGGAGCGGCCCCGCTCCCGCCGGAAGACGCTCTGGGAGCTGGTGTTTCCCTAGAGCGGAAGGGGCGGAGCGTCAGAGGCCGATTGGCTGCAGGCGAGGCGGGGGCGGAAGTGCGCGCCCTGGCTTCCGGTTCCCACACCACCTCCACAAGGCCGCCCAGGCGTTCCATAGAGGCGGAGAAGCCGGCTAGAGCGACTCCTAGCCTTTCATGGAGGGGGGCGGAGGGTTAAGATCTGAAACAACGAGGTCTCCACCTCGGGTTGCATGCAGTTGTCCTTCTGTTTAATCCCTTCAGGATGGAGTGGTTTTACTTGACTTTCATGGAACTGCCAATTTGGAAATCACATGCCAGTTATTTTGTAGCATGCTCCTGGGTGCATTCAGCCCATACTTCTTGGACAGTAATGCTACAGAGCTGATACTGCATTTTTCTCATTATTAAACCCATTATTGAAATTTGGCTCATTGATAATTTTCACCATTAGATTAAGGTGACATCTGCCATATTTTTCCACTAAAAATATCTTTACCTTTCTAATATTTTTGTGGTGTATTTTTTTTTTTTTAAATAACCTTCTTATGTTTTGTTGTTGTTAATCCTCACCTGAGGCTATTTTCCCATTGATGTTTAGAGAGAGTGGAAGGAAGGGGGAGAGACACAGGGAAACATGAATGTGTGAGAAACACATGTTTTGGTTGTCTCCCCTATGTGCTCCAACTGGGGCTGGGGATTGAGCATCCAACCAAGGTGTATACCCTTGACCAGAATTGAACCTAGATTCTTCAGTCCGTGGGAGGGTGCTCTGTCCACTGAGCCAAACTGGCTAGGGCTGGAGATGTACTTTGAAACCATGTCTATAATTCATTCTTTTATTTTTTTATTTTTTATTGATTTTTTACAGAGAGGAAGGGAGAGAGAGCGAGTTAGAAACATTGACCAGCTGCCTCTTGCACACCCCCTACTGGGGATGTGCCCACAACCTATGTACATGTCCTTGACTGGAATCGAACCTGGGACCTTTCAGTCTGCAGACCAATGCTCTACCGCTGAGCCAAACCGGCTTCGGCTCATTTTTTTTTTTTTTTTTAATCCTCACTGGAGGATATTTTTCCATTGACTTTTAGAGAGTGAAAGACAGAAACATCAATTGCTTCCTGCACAGCCCCAACTAGGGCCCAGGCAGAGAGAAGCCTGCAACCGAGGTATGTGTCCTTGATTGGAATTGAACCTGCCACAACCCTGGCATTGGCATTTTACCAAGGAACCCTGGTTCCTTTAGTGGATATTTTGGGACAGAATGTTTGTGTTCCCCCTAAAAATTCATATGTTGAAGCCCTACATCCCAATGTGATTTTATTTGGACATCTTTGGGAGACAATCAGGGTTTGATGAAGTCATTAGGATGGTAGATTAGGGAGTGCCCTCATCAGAGACACCAGAGAACTTGCTGACTCTCTGCCACATGAGGACAAGCAAGAAGTTGGCAATTTGCAAGCCAATGAGAGCTCTCACCAGAAACCAAATAGGACTTTATCAGGGATTTGCCACCATTCTGAACTGTGGAAATAAATGTGTTATTTAAGCCACCCACTTTGTGTTATTTTTGTCAGGGAAGCCCAAGTAGACTAAGATTTTGATAACAAGAAATGAGGTGCTGCTCTAAAAAACATATAAAATGTGGCAGCCTTAGCAGACTAAGACAGTGAAGAATTTTGAAGGCAATCCATTAGAACTCAATGAAGAGAACTAGAGAATATATGTATGTGACCATACATGTACATTCTCATGCTTCTACATTTATCTATTTTTAAATGTCTTCAATCATGAATTCATACTTTTTAAAAAAAATATCTTTTTATTGATTTCAGAGATAGAGGGAGAAACTTCATTGATGAGTGAGAATCATGGATCAGCCACTTCCTGCAAGCCCCTTAGTGGGGACTGAACCTGCGACCAGGCATGTGCCCTTGACTGGAATCGAATCCAGGACCCTTCAGTCTGCAGGCGTCTCTCTCCACTGAATAAAACCAGGAGGGCATGAATTCATACTCTTAAATACAATTTCAACCAAACCTCAGGTTTCATTCTAGGTTTTGCCCTTTTTGAATTCATAAGTAATAACTTCCTCTGACAGTAAGAAAAATCAAGCATAGCCTGGATGCTGTGAAAGATTGATTTTAAACTTTGTTATAATGAGTTTTTTTCCCGTTTTGCCCAAAGTTCTAAAGTACAGTGTTTAGTTCTGGGTGGCTGTCCTTCCTCCTAAGGTATGGCCCTTTGGTTTCAATGGGTATCCCAAAGTATACACTCCTCTTCGAGGAATTTTTAAAAATATATATTTTTTAATTTTTTTAAAGTATATTTTACTGATTTTTCTTACAGAGAGGAAGGGAGAGAGATAGAGAGCTAGAAACGTCAATGAGAGAGGTCAATGAGAAACATCGACCAGCTGCCTCTTGCACACCCCCTACTGGGGATGTGCTCACAACCCAGGCACATGCCCTTGACCGGAATCGAACCTGGGATCCTTCAGTCCGCAGACCGACGCTCTACCGCTGAGCCAAACTGGTTTCGGCTCTTAGAGGAATTTTAATTTCAAATTGTATTACCCCAGCAGTTGCTACGTCTACTCAGTTCCTCAAATTGGACTACTGCTTTCTGCTGGGTTCCTAGGAATTATTACACTGCATAAGTGATACCCAGAATGGCAACCTGGATTCCAGGTTCTTGTCCTACGAAGTGTGAAGAATGAACAAAAGCATGGAAACTTATTGCAGACATATAAAATCCCCCCCTTGGGGAGCAGTCCCCAAATGGGAAAAAGACCCAATGAGTCTTCCTTGTCTAAGGGTTTATAAATGCTGACAGCATCTTTGTACATGCTTTCTAACTGGATAGTCCTCATTTAAAAATATATATATATATTATTGATTTTTGTACAGAGAGGAAGGGAGAGAGATAGCTAGAAACATCTATGAGAGAGAGTCATCGACCAGCTGCCTCTTGCACACCCCCTACTGGGGATGTGCCCACAACCAAGGTAGATGCCCTTAACCGGAATCAAACCCGGGTCCCTTTAGTCCCCAAGCCGACGCTCTATCCATTGAGCCAAACCGGTTTCGGCTGGACCCTCCTCATTTTATGGCACCTCCTGTTTCCCCCTAGTTGGCCAATTTCCCCCTTTCCCTTTTCTACTCTGTTTCCCCAAAAATAAGACAGTGTCTTATATTAATTTTTTCTCCCAAAGTTGTGCTAGGTCTTATTTTCAGGGGATGTCTCATCTTTCCATGCGCTAGGTCTTATTTTCGGAGGATGTCTTATTTTCGGGGAAACATGGTAGTATCAGTTCCCAAGTTTCAAAGCTCACCAGGTGCTCACCCTTCCTCTTGTAAGATAAACACTGTAGTGGTATTGGAGTTGGCTCTGACCTTCAGTGCTTCATGTATGCATTCCTTTCCCATGGACCTTTCCCTAACTGCCTCTCCTATCTCCAAATCCTTTCACAAGTACAATTTGAAAGGAATCTATAGACAGATTTTGGGGCTTATATGTTTGAAGCTCTCTCCTTTTCAAGATTTCCTTCCTAATTTCCAGCTGTTCTAGAAGATCCTAACGATCCCTCAGCTGAGTAAGACTGTCACATTCTATTTCCAAGCACACTGCACAAACTGGAAATTTCCTCCAGGTAAAAGGTAGTATATTAGTTTGTGCAGTTGATGCCTGTTTGCTCTCTAGTATTCTAATCATTTTTATAGCTTATTCAAAGTTTACAATTGCTGGCAAGAGAGTTAATCCAAAACAAGCTATTCCTTTATTACTAGACTGCAACCTCTGAAATCTAAAAGTTTCAAATAAAAAAATTAAAGGCAAAATAAAGTTTGTAATTTATTTCAAGTGTATTAGGATAAACGCCACTTTATGCAACCAAACCTTTTTAATGTATTTCTAGTTAAGTACAAAATACCAGATTAAAATAGAAACCAGCATTTAAAGGAAAATCCTTTGACTTATAGTCCAAGACCAAACTATAATTCATTCTACCAAAAGAACTAGTTTTTTTTTTGGTACAAAATATAAAGAATTTTACACTATAAAAAAGGCTACTATATATTTACTTAAATTAGAATTTTAGCATCTGCTTTTCCTCTAATTATTTCCAAGCATAAAGCATAATGCAAGTCAGAAATCCAATAACCTCAATGGGCAAATTGTCTTAGAATATGCTTTTACACTTAAGATATTTTGAAAGATAGTATTCTTTCCCTTGGCTAAGAGTCGAGTCCAGTACCTCAAGAGGTCCTTTTTTTTTAATGATCGATTTATTAAAAAAATGTTTTTATTAATTTCAGAGAGAGGAAGGAAGAGGGTGAGAGAAATAGAAACATCAATGATGAGAATCATCAACCAGCACCTCCTGCACAACTTCCCCCATTGGGGATGGAGCCCACAACCCAGGCATGTGACCTCCTGGTTCATGGGTCAACATTCAATCATTGAGTCACACTGGCCAGGCATCAATATGTTTTAATTTAGCTTACAAAACTGCCTTATTAACATGAAGAGCACACTATAATTTAATGTTTAAGCATTACCGTTTAGGAAGTAATGTGACACAGAGTTCAATGTAAAATCTAAAAGGTTACAACCTAAGTCTAATATTAATTTAAAAATCTCAGCAACTTCTATGTTGAAAAAGACCAAACCAACCCCTTATACCTTCTACCATTATCATTATTCTATGTTCACAGTCCTTCTATGAAAAAAACACAGCTTAAAATAAAACTTGGTCAAATTTTACCAAGAGCAAGAGTAAAACTAGGAATGTTAAAAAAAAAAAAGTGTATCTTCATTATAAAATTCTTATCTAGCAGGGGCAAAGTTTTAATTTGTTCTCTCAAAACCAAACATATTTTTCCTAAATAAAATAAAAACTCTTTGTTCCTACTATAAAACTATTCTTTCCACCCACGACATTTTACATAAAAGCACCAAAGAAAATTTCTGTAAACAAACTTTAAACCAGTAAACTAAGGGCAAATATCCATTTGCCTTTATTACAATATTTAAAAGGTCAGAATACGAGTCTCTACTTCCTACAATGACATTTTTATAATAAAATTTCAGGCATACTTATACAAACAAGAAATGGAATTACTGTACATTTGGGGGGAACAAAAGGCAGGTTAACAGACTACAACTTGTTGGTTAACAAAGTGAGCACAAGAAACCTATAAAATGTATGCAATTTATAAAAATTCAGTGACTTTAAAGTTTCGTTGTAGGGATTAATAATATAAAGAATAAAAGATGGTAGATCCACTGACTTACTATCCTGTAAACAGTAAGAAATAATCAATAAATTAGAAATGTCTTAGCTCCCAGTACTTCCCTTCTCTCGCACGGGAAACCCTTTTACAGCTGTTAAAATTGGCCTTCTTCAGTATTAGAATACTTCCTTAAGTAGCAAGAAATAAATTCCATTAGCAATAAGTTAAAAGTCTACAATAGATTTCTGGCAAATATATTAGAAAAAAAGTACTGTGGTCATGTTGTATGACAGAATGACTTAAAACTTGCAAATTTCTCCTCTTTTATTAGTCTGATTTTGTTGCTATCATATTGTTTTATAAATTGGTAGAAAGGTACTAGAAAAATAAAAAAATGAAAAGGATATGGTAGATTTATGGAGAAAAAGCCTTCAAAATCCTTTTTCCTATTTCTGCTACACAGAAAAAGTTTCATTTGGCACACAATTTGTAAAAAGAAAAGGAAAAAAAAAATGTTTGGCATTCCAATCGCCCATAGTAAAGACAACAGTAGGAGAGGAAAATGGGAAAAATTACTATTTTTAAAAAAGACATCAGAAGACAACCAATGGCTGTTGTGTCTTTCACCCTTTACTGTCTCTGAATACTTTCATCTGTAACACAGTATATAAATTATTATTTACATTCTGATTAAATTGGTAAAGAAGACCGGAACCAGTGTTTATTGTGCTCTAACTTACAGCACTGCCCATCAGGATAGCCATTACTATCAAGGCAAGAAGGCCTGAAACAAAATATTCCATTTGCATTGTATATTTTATTTAAATTTGTTTTATGGTTTATCTTCTGGGATGCATAAATAATTATAAGACTCTAAAAAGTCCTGTAAACTTAGGCTGAGTTTCTGTAGCTGATAACTATTCACTGAAGATGGTGTTTTTCTCTCTTGATAAGAAAACTTACAAAGGTATTTGCTTAAACAGTGGTATCTCCAAAGACCTTGTTCCAACGTATGTATGCTTCTAAGGTTTGAGGGCCCACGCTGCGTTTTATCTTTTTCAAGGATTCAGTGAAGTCAGATAATCGAATATTTCTCATCTAGATTTTAAAAAAGCACATGAAAATACAAATGATGAAAACATACAGTAGTTAGCCCCCAAATGGATCAAATGATGCTACTTATTAATGTTAGAAACATATGTCGATCAATTCTTTTTAAAAAAAAAATATATATTTATTGATTCCCCTACTTGGGATCGAGCCAGCAACCTGGGCATGTGCCCTTGGCTGGAATGAACCTGGGACCTTTCAGTCAACAGGCTGAAATTTTATCCACTGAGCCAAACCAGCTGGGGCAGTAGATGAATTCTTTAAAATCATGTCAATCACCTTATTTTACATATAGGTAGGGCAAAAGTAGGTTTATAGTTGTAAGTATGGGACACATAGTTTATTTTTTTAAAATATATTTTGATTTTTTACAGAAAGGAAGAGAGAGGGATAGAGAGTTACAAACATCGATGAGAGAGAATCATCGATCAGCTGCCTCTTGCACACCCCCACTGGGGATGTGCCTGCAACCAAGGTACATGCCCTTGACCGGAATCGAACCCGGGACCTTTCAGTCCGCAGGCTGACGGTCTATCCATTGAGCTAAACCAGTTTCGGCTAGAGTTTATTTTCATATTATTATGTATTAACTAGAGGCCCAATGCACAAAATTTGTGTAAGGGGCTCGGCCCTCACAGCCTTGGCGGCCTGCCTTGGCCCTTGCAGCCCTGGCTTCATCCGGAAGGTCATTAGGCTGTCTAGTCTAATTATCATATTACGCTTTTATTATTATAGACTAGAGGTGTGGTGCATGAATTTGTGCACAGGTGGGGTACCTCGGTCTTGCTGCCAATTGGGGCCATCCAGCAAGGGGGTGGGGAAGGCAGAAAGATCACAGGAGGTTGGCTGTGGGAGTGCACTGACCACAGTAGGCAGCTCCTGCATTGAGTATCTGTCCTCTGGTGGTTAGTGCATGTCATAGCTACTGGCCAGTTGTCCAGTCATAACAGTTGCTTAGGCGTTTATATATACATAAATGATTGTATTATTTCAAATATGAACAACGGTAAACTTACTTTTGCCCCATCTTGTATATTAGATAAGATTGCTATATAAGAAATCTTATAAGAATGTTATACTAATATACTTTTATTACATGTTTCATTTCTTAGGTATTAACATTTTAAATAATATTTTCCCATTACCAAAACAAGACCCACGCATTAGAGATAATTTGACAAAATACAGACAAGCAGAAAAAGAACCACTCACTCACAGTTCCACCATTAGATAGACAACCACTCCTTAGCTCCTAATTTTTTCTGTTTATAGATTCATAGAATTTTACATTCTCAAGTCTCACTCACTATATACTCTAGCTAACATTCATGCAAGGTTTATTAGAAAGGAAAGGGAGGTTATAAGAAGCATGTAGGACTTTTAACTAAAAATTTTAAAATGTTTTTATTTATTTCAGAGAGAAAGGGAGAGGGAAGGAGAAATAGAAACATCAATGATGAGAGGGAATCATTCATTGGCTGCCTCCTGAACACCCCCCACTGGGGATTGAGCCAACAACCCAAGCATATGCCCTTGACTGGAATAGAACCCAGGATCCTTCAGTCCACAGTCTGATGCTCTAGTCACTGAGCCAAACCAGTTAGGGCTAAGCAAATGTTGTTTTTAACTACAACATGTATGATGCTTGTTTCTGAAATATTCTAACATTAATACTGTTTATAATGCATTTTTTAAAAAATATGTTTTTATTGATTTTAGAGAGGAAGGGAGAGAGAAAGAAACGTTGGTGATGAGAATCATTGATTGGCTACCTCCTGCACACCCCTTACTGGGGATTGAGCCCACAACCTCGGGCATGTGCCCTTGATTGGAACCGAACCTGGGATCTTTTCACTGATTCCAGAAGGGTAGGAAGGGAGGGGGGTATTGCCAGAGGAGGGACGGTTTGGAAGAAGAGAGAAATATTGATGTGAGAGAGAAATATGGATCAGTTGCCTCCTACACATGCCCTGACCAGGGCCTGGGTAAATACTCACTCGAGAATATTTTTCCCCATTGACTTTTAGAGTGGAAGGGAGTGGGAGAGACAGAAAGAGAAATATTGAAGTGAGAGAGACACATTGACTGGTTACTTCCTGCATGTGCCCATGGAAATGCAGCCTACAACTGAGGTATGTGTTCTCGTCTGGAATTGAACTCTTGACCCTTAGGTAACACTGGCCAGGACATGGTATTTTAAAAATATGTGTTTTCAGACTCTTGTCATTAACACAGCACTAATAAAAACGAAGATAGTATGCTTAAAAAAAAAAAAAAGGAAAAAAAGAACTGACATTTTTATTATATTGAATCTTCAAATCCAAAGATTTGGTATATCCTTCCATTTATTTATTAAAATCTTTTTCAACATAATTTTTTTCAGGAAAAGACTTGTAAATCTTTTAATATATATATATATATATATATATATATATATATATATATATATGTAAATAAATAAATAAATTTTACAGAGAAAGGAAGGGAGAGGGAGGGAGGGAGAAACATTGATGTGAGAGAAATATCAATCAGTTGTCTCCTCACCTGCCCTGACCCGGGGATTGAACCCTCAACCTGGGTATGTGCCCTGACCAAGAATCAAACTGGCAATGGAATGATGCTCAACCAATTGAGCCACATCAGCCAAGCAAGATATCTTTTAGAATATTCATCATTGGTACTTTACATTTTTGCTATTGATAAAATAAATGGTATCTTTTCTTTTTAAAAAAAAAAGTTCCACCTTCTGTTTCCTCCTGGTATAGTCATGCCTTTCAGAGTTACCCTACTTTGAGGCGAAGGGGCCTGGACTTTATACCCCACATCAATCAGGCACTGGATAAGTGTTGCCCTCAGGTACTGAATATGAAATGACCCTGAGTGAAGAGTCTTTTGGCCGGAAGTCAATGCCAGAAGAGTGATTCAATTGAGAGCTGTCAGCTGCCAACTTTCCCACCAGCTAAGAAAACTCCGCAGTCCTGAAGGGAAATCTTGACAGAGTTCCACTAAATGCTTTTGAAGGGGTTAAAGAAGTTCTTCTTTATTCTTAGTTTTCTTAAAAGGTCTTGTTTTGGTAAAAGGAGAGTTACCCAGGTGTATTATGTGGGGAATTGGATCTGGTGTTTAATTGCTTCTTAAATAGACTTTCAACTAATCCTATTTCACTCTCACCTTTACCCCAGTTTCAGAACTGTCTGTTGTCCTCAAACCTGAATTTTTCTGTGGCTTTGCAAGTCAGACTGACTTTTTAGATTTTGCTCACTGCCAGCAAAGAGATGCATTTCTATACACAGAGTTTTAATATTCTTCTTCATAAAAATGACCAGGGCTTGTCCTGGCAGGGCAGCTCACTTGGCTGAAGAGTCATCCATACATCGAAAAGTCCAGGTTCGATCCCTAATTGGTATGCATACAGGAAGGCAGCTGAGTGATGTTGCCCTCTCACATCGATGCTTTTCTTCCCATTCCTCTCTCTCAGTAAAATCAATAAGCATGTCCTCGGGTAAGGATTAAAAAAAAATAAAAAAAGAACCAAGGTTCTACTGAGTTGTTGATTCCAATGAAACACCAATGATGAGAGAGAATCATTGATCAACTGCGTCCTGCATACCCCATACTGGGGACTAAGCCTGCAACCTGGGCAACCATGTATTGGGAGAGGCAAATGTAAGATATGCCTTGCCCACAGAAAGCAAAAGTGCTTTTCAAAATTCTGAAGTAATGCTGAGAGGGTTCATCTTCATCTAAAAACAGATTTCATTGGCCAAGTGTAACCCTTTAACCATAAAAATATTATAATTGGATTTACACATGTGGTGGGCATCGTCTGATGACTTCCACCTCTCATTATATGCCTTTGTGAAATCCCTTCCCTGAATGTAAACTGACTTTATAATGGACTACAGCCCTAGCTGGTGTGGCTCAGTGGATAGAGTGTTGGCCTACAGACTGAAGGATCCTATGTTCAATTCCGGTCAAGGGCCCATATCCGGATTGTGGGCTCCATCCCCATTAGGGGGCTTGCAGGAGACAGCTAATCAATGATTCTTTCTCATCATTGATGTTTTTCCCTCCCTCTCCCTTCCTCTCTGAAATCAGTAAAAATATATATTTTTTAAAAATAGAAGACTACAGCAAAAGTGATAGAATTTCACTTTCATGATTAAGTATAAAGACTATGACTTCCATCTTTTTGGCATTCTTTCTTGTCTTCCTGGCTTGCTTACTTTGATGAAGCAAATTGCTATGTTGGAGAGGCATTATGTAGCAAGGAAGAGAAGACAGCCTTCAGCCAATAGCCAGAGAAAACAGGCTGTCAGCCCAACAACCCATGAGGGGAAATGAATCTGGCAAAGAATCACATGAGTGATCTTTGAAGCAGATCTTTCCCTAGTTGAGTCTTACAATGATTATATTGCCAGCCAACATCTTGCTTCCAGCTTTGTAAGAGACTATGGGCCAACACTTTGCTCCCTGTTGAGAGAGATTGAATCAGAGGACTCAGCTAAGCTGAGTCCTCTGATTAAGCTGCACCCATATTCCTGACTGTGAAAATAAGGTAATAAATGTTTTAAGCTGCCAAGTTTTGGGGTAAATTTTTGTTATCCTATCTTATATAATAAAAGCCTAATATGCAAATTTCCCCTTTGACTGGGAATTCGACCAGGGGGTGGGGCTGGCCAGCCAACCACTCTCGGCCCCTACCCCCGGCTGGTCCTGCCCTGGCTGGAAGCCAGGGGAAGGGAGGCCCTAGCCAGCAGCTGGCAGTCGCTAGGGACTCTACCTGTGCACAAATTTTGTGCATTGGGCCTCTAGTATAGCTATAAATACCTACAGAAACAGAATTACTATCTTGTTTTATAATCATAAGAGCATAAAAGTTACTAAAAAAGAAATATAGACTCAAAATGTCTTTATTCTTTAAATAAACAGGAACTATATTTGGGTTGACTGTTCAGTGAAGAAGGTTTGGTTTTGTGGATATTCTCAGGATGGGTAAAACATATACAACGGTTAACAGAACCACTATCAATGGTAAACAGATCTCTTTCTCATGAAATAATGGAAAGATTCCTAAGAATTTCTACTATTCTCTAAGCAGCCACCTACTTGCTTTCATAAAATTATTATATTAATGCACGTTTATCAAAGCATTCCATTTTATGTACAAGCAAGTGGCATTCCTCAGGGATATGCATAGAAAGTGCCATGGCCTAGCAGCTTGAGACAGAGTGAAGAACACTTGCAAATGTGGGGCTGAATGGATTTTGCCTGTGAAGTCAACTGAGAACTTCATACCACTTCTTACTAAAATTTATTTTCCAGGTAGTGGTTTTAGCTCATTATTGACTTGTTTGGTTCCTTTACTTGTATGGTCTTTATTAAAAAAATAATTTTTTTCTTAATTTCAGAGAGGAAAGGAGAGGGAGAGAAACACCAATGATGAGAGAGAATCATTGATCAGCTGCGTCCTGCATACCCCATACTGGGGACTAAGCCTGCAACCTGGGCAAGTTCCCTGACCTGGAACCCAACTGTGGCCTCCTGGTTCATAGGTCAACACTCAACCACTGAGCTATGCTGGCCAGTCTATATGGTCTTTTCAAGGGACAAACAAAGAGGTCTAAAATGTCAGACATAAGGCCTTTCCTCAACTTTAATGTAGGAGGCCAGATTATGAGCTATCAAGTTTACCTCTCCTTGATCCAAGTCAGAGAGTGAGTGGTGTGTGAAGAAATAATTCATGCCTAATGCTTACTTTTTGTAGAAAAAGTACTATTATGTTTATGCTATGAGTATGAGAATATTTAAAAAGCAATATGTTTATAGGATATTGTTAATACATTTTACTTAAAAATCCTTAAGACACTTTGGAAACAAAAATTGTATTGTATTTGATATATTAAAAAATTAGAAAAATATGTCATTAAAATTATAAATCAGATAAAAGGAACTTGGAATTTATACTTGAAATGTGTATTTTAAAAAAATTTAACCTTCACCTGAGAATATGTTTTTATTGATTTTTAGACAGAGGAAAGGAGAAAGAGAAAGAGTGATGTGAGAGAGAAACACAGATTGGTTGCCTGGACTAGGGATCGAACCTGCAACCTTTTTGTGTACAGGAGGACACACACACACACCAACTGAATCACTCAGTGAATGGCCTACATGTGATTTTTAAGGTATAGTAGTTAAACATCAGAGTGGGTATGAGGAATTCTCTATTACTAAGCTTCATTCATGCCAAATACACTTTAGGCAAACTAGACTGTTAAAATGAAAGGGTGGCTTCAAGAGGTGTGAGGACTTTCTTAGTAATGTAGGTGATGAACCATCATGCACAAATGCCTGAGGACAACATCAAATTTACTTAAAAGTTTGAAGAAACAGGACTGTCAAAATGTACTCGTTCTCTATGTTGAGTTCAATGTCACCTCAATAGCTGTTGAAACTTGGGCAACAAAAACATATATCTGACAGGTAAGTTACAAACATAATGCATGTTGATTTTAAAAGTTTGTTCACACAGTTATGATCATTCTGCATTTCCAATTTATATTTCATAGGCTGGCAGTATTTTTCAAAATAAATTCTTTAGCATTTCATAAGAGGGTCTACTATATTAAGAAATTATAGTAAATTGCATTACAATGTTAATTGTATTGCTTTTATAAGGAGGAAAACATTAAAAAACTAACAAAATGGAACATGAAAGGCTAATCTGTTCCAAGTTACTTTCATAATGTATAAAATCTTTGTCTCCTATACTTTGCTTGTTTAGTTGTTTTTTTGTTTTGTTTTTTTTAATAGATTTTATTGATTTTTTTTAACAGAGAGAAAGGGAGAGAGATAGAGAGCTAGAAATGTCGATGAGAAACATCGACCAGCTGCCTCTTGCACACCCCCTACCGGGGATGTGCCCGCAACCAAGGTACATGCCCTTGACCGAAATCCAACCTGGGACCATTCAGTCCGCAGACTGACGCTCTACCACTGAGCCAAACCGGCTTCGGCTGCTTGTTTAGTTTTTACATAATATAAATTGTTAGAAAATTAATTAATGTGTACAATATTTTTGTCCATTACCAATGAACAACATAAGATACTGTGATGGGATAGGCCTTTCTCTCTCTCTCTCTCTCTCTCTCTCTCTCTCTCTCTCTCTCTCTCTCTCTATATATATATATATATATATATATATATATTAAATATGTTTTTATTGATTTCAAAGAGAGGAAGGGAGTGGGAGAGAGGGATAGGAACATCAATGATGACAGAGAATAATTGATCAGTTGCCGCCTGCATGACCCCCTCTGGGGATCAAGCCTGCAACCTGGGCATGTGACCTAACTGGGAACTGAACTGTCATCACCTGGTTCATGGGTCAACAAACCCTGAGCCACACTGGCCGGGAAGGCTTCTATTTTTTAAAATGAGACAAAGTTAATTTTTTCTAGTTTCTAATCAATAAACTATAAAATACAGACAAGACATGTATCTAACAATATAGAGAATCAAAACCAAAAAAAGACAATTGTAATATAGTATATACCTCATTGGCAGACATATTCTTCACTTGTTCTGGTTTCAGTTCTGCAAAATATAAAAGGCAGCCACTTAAAAGACATATATTAGAGCACATAAATGCTTAGAAAAATATTATTTCTTAGGAGTTACTATAAAACATTCAATTTTTTTGGATATTATAAAAAAACAAGTTTTACAAATTTGAGAGTAAACTTAAAAGAATTAAATTTGGGAGAGAAATCAAAATGGCAGTATAGGTTTACACCTAAACTGCTGCCTCGCACAATTTCAAAACTACAAAAGACAAAATGGACATCATCCAGAACCACAGGAAGGCTGGCTGAGAGGAAATTCTAAAACTAGAAGGAGAGAGAAAAGCACACTGAGACTCAGAGGAGCTATAGGAGGCAGATGTACTGAGATGCGTGCGCAGAGAGGACTGGCACCTGAGCGTGCAGCTGGCTTTCTTAAGCGGGAGACAAAAGCTCCCGACTGTGCTGACCTTCAGTTTCAGGTGAGACTCTGGGACCTAGACTCATTTGGGGAGAAACTGGACTGTCTGGCAGTGGGCAGAACTCGAGGGCAGCTTTCCCTCAGAGGTACTTGCAGGGATTACCACTGGACACTGAGACACAGGGGTCTATTAAGGCAGGGCTGATGGTAAACCAATGCTGTGCTCTGCTCTGAGACTCTGCCCCTCCAAGCTGATCACAGAGGCTTTTGCAAGTGTTGTCTCATAAGGGTGTCTCCAGCACAGAAGTTCTCCCAGGGTAGACACAGCTGATCCTCACAGCCAATTGGCCTGTAGGTCAATTCCTCCCAGTGATACCAACAACAATCAAAGCTTTACTACAACAAGACTGTGTACACAGCCCACAAAAGGGAGCACCAAGCATGTCCACCATAGGTAACTGGGAAGGCTGAGCCACTGGGCACTATAGGACACCTAGCACACAAAGCCTCTCTATAACTCAGGGAAGCAGACAAAATTCAGAGACAAAGAAACAGATCACAAATGAAAGAAATGGAGGAAAGCAAATGACTGCTTATAGAGTTCCAAACCACATTTATTAGTTTTTTCAATAATTTTCTAGAAAAGCCTGATAAATTTAGCAAGACTTTCGAGGATATGAAAAAGGAGCAACTAGAAATTAAGCATACACTGTCTGAAATAAAAAACATTATACAGAGATCTAACAGTAGACTAGAGGATTGCAAGAATCAAGTCAAAGATCTATAATACAAAGAAGCAAAAAATGCTCATCTGGAAAAGAAAAAAGAAAGAAGAATCCAAAAATATGAAGACAGTTAAGGAGCCTCTGGGACAACTTCAAGCATGCCAACATCAGAATTATGGGGGTGCCAGAAAAAGAGAGAGAGAAAGATACTGAAAACCTATTTGAAGAAATAATGACCAAAAACCTCCTCACCTTGTGAAAGTCATAAGACTTACAAGTCCAGAAAACTCACAGAACCCCAAACAAAAGGAATCCAAAGAGGATCACACCAAGACACATAATAATTAAAATGCAAATAGCAAAAGACAAAGAATCTTGAAAGCAGCAAGAGAAAAACAGTTACCTACTATGGGGAATACCCATATGACAGTCAGCTGATTTCTCAATAGAAACTATGCAGGCCAGAAGGGAATGGCAAGAAATATTCAAAGTGATGAATAGCAAGAATCTACAACCAAGATTACTCTACCCAGCAAAGCTATTATTTAGAATTGAAGGGCAGATAAAGAACTTCACAGATAAGAAAAAGCTAGAGTTCATCACCACCAAACCAGTATTATATGAAATGCTGAAAGGTATCCTTCAAGAAGAGGAAGAAGAAGAAAAAGAAAAAGGTAAAGATAAAAATTATGAACAAATACATATCTATCAACAAGTGAATCTAAAAATCAAGTAAATAAAAAAATCTGATGAACAGAATAAACTGGTGAATATAATAGAATCAGGGGCATAGAAAGGGAGTGGACTTACAATTCTTGGGGGAAAAGGGGTGTGGGGATGCAGGAAGAGATGGGACAAAAATCGTACACCTATGAATGAGGTCAGTGGGGTGGGGGCGGGTAAAGACAGAGGGTGAGGTGGGAACCTGGTGGAGGGGAGCTATGGAGTAAAAAGAGGAACAATTGTAATAATCTGAACAATAAAGATTTATTAAATTTTAAAAAAAGAATTCAATTTGTTCTTTACAAAAGGCACTAGCTTTAAAAAAATCTAACAACTTTTGTCTGTTTCAGAAAATAACTAAAATATTTTAAAAACACAAATTCTTTATACATTAGCTATTGTTTCTGAGTCCCTATCTGAACATAGTTTGCAGCAAGAAAGTTTGGCTAAAATACTTTACTTAGTATCACAAAATATTTTCTCAAAGTTACATTTATTATTCTCCAAAGCAGCATGTCCCATGATCTATTTTATCATCATAACCAGTAAGTAATCTAAGTGCATACCTGCCTATACTGGCCTTAGAAAAGTTACTCAGAACATCTATTCTAAAGTGATAACCATAGTGAGTTTAATCTAATCCAAGTGATCAGTTGTGGTATTTCAGAATCAACAAATTATTCTGAATCAAAACATAGCAATGCATGATACATTTTTCTGCAAGCCTTCAAAAGTTAACATGTAATGATAAAAGTATAAATAGTTACACGAATTCCCTTAGGCACATTAACTTTAAGTGATTTTAGAATACTGAAATGTAAAGCACCAAAAAAAGTTAAGAATATTTTCCCTTTAGCATTCTTTTTTGCTTGCTTGAAAAAGTTTTCTTTTTCTTTGAGTTTTCTGCTTCTTAGCCACTATCAACAAGTGAAATCTATTGTCTAGAACAGGGGTCATGGTCCACTGACCCTTGGACTGTCTTTGATGGTCTGTGAGCTAAAAATAGTTTCACATTTTGTTTGTGTGTGTGTGTTTGAAAAAAACAACAAAAAACACAAACAAGATATGCAATGTAGAGCATATATAAACCTAAAATATTTACCATCAGGCTCTTCACAGAAAAGTTTGCTGACCTTAAATCTAGAAAATACTTTATTTAGTTTTCCACTGATACAGCTTTACTCATTTCCCACTAATAGAGACTTCTCAAACTTCTAAAATGGTCTCACGAAAAGGTAAATGTTTCCAGCTCTTGTATACCTACCTCGGATAGGACCCAGAGCTGCATCTTTTGCCAAAGCTGTTAGATCACTTCCTGAGTATCCATCAGTCATTCTGAGAATGAGTAGAAACAGCAAATTATTTTCATCTTTGCAGATTTAAATTCTCTGTGTAAGAAGGTAAAACCAACTTTACTTTGTCTTTAAGCAGACCGCTGTATGATTTAAGTGCACAGAAAGACCCACTTGCTAAAATCAAACAGAACAGTCTGCTGCTGGCTCCTTATTTATAATGCCTCAAATTTGCATCATTACAACCAATCCTTTATATTAAGGCACACTATACCTCCAGGAGGCTCCATTAAATTGTAAACATGTCCCCTGGAAAGTAACATCTACAAGCCATTGCTGGCCAACTGAGACATAACCAGTCACTTCTCTAAAAGTTAGTGGTCTTTGTCTTGACAAAGAGCACTGAGTTGATGTAATAAGGGCCAAAGGAGATTATGTTATTATTATTTTTTAGTATTTATTTATTTATTTGTGATTAAAATTCATGAATGTACTAGGTATCTCCTATATTCAGTTTCTATTAGAGTGTACCATTTTTATTTATGTTTATTTTTTCAGCTTTTTAATTGAATCTATGGGGGTGACACTGGTTAATAAAATTATATAGATTTCAGTTGTATAATTCTATAATACATCACAAAGTAGATTTTTCAAAATACAGGACAAATAGGTTGAAGGAAGTGTGACAGAAGTCATTGGCAAAAATAGGCACACCGAATGGGATGCCACAGTGGAGAAAGAGTAGCCAAGAGATTATCAAAGGGAACTAAAGACTAGGTAGGCAAAGGGAAAGAGGAAAATAAAAGAGGGAAAGAAAGCATTTACTTATTGTGTACTATGTTAAATAAGTACACAGATCAAACATTATTAGCACAATTCTTTATTAAAATGACAAAGAAGGATCTCAACTACTTCAAAGTAATGCATTTGTTCTTTTTTCATTCTTACCTAGGAACTCAATGTATACTAAAATTATAGCTATTTACATACTTACTGAATATTATTTTATGATGTTTTTTCCAGTGATTAAAGTTCACAAATGCATCTCCTATATTCAGTTTCTACTAGTGTACCACTCAAAAAAAAAGGTTAAAGATGTAAAATTTAAAGAAAATTATTTGTAATGCAAAAGAAATTTATAAGAAAATGTATGATGGTGTGATATGAGCTATTTTACATTTTTAAAATTACTTTAATACCACTTATAAGTTTTAATAAGTTTATAAAAGGAATACAGTACCATCATAGATGTTTAGGTCATGTCTTGTATAGAATCTAGAAACTGAAATTTAGGTACTATACGTACAAGAATAAGAGATAAAAAAAAAGGTAAAGGAAGCAGAAGATGAAACACTACTCATTTTATTCCTGAGTTTACTTTAAACAAAACAGAAAAAGATTTCTTTAAAAAAAAAAACCCAAAAAACGAAACTGTAAAACAGACCAAATCAAGTTACTCACCTAGCAAGTTGTGCTAGTTCTTTTTGGGTCAATGGGCTTCCCTGTTTACATAATAGATTTTTAAGTAAAAGTAGTCGTGTCTGAAAAGAAATGTTAAAGAATTATCAGTCCTAAGAATTAGCTTAATAAAATACCAGAAATTAGGTTCAAACCCTAATTCTCATTTAGGAACTGAATGATCTTACACAAATCACTCTATCTTTTAGAGACAGTTCCTGAGAGAGGTGAGGATACTTCAAATAAAGCACCAACGACATAGCTATTATAACTATCAAGGATATTAAGGGTCTGAGCTAGACAATATAACTTATAAACAAAAACAAAATAGGTTAAACAAGTATGAATTCATGAATCTCACCCATTGAACTTCAATGACTTAATAACTTAAGACTTTTGCAACCATCACCATAATCCAGTTTAGAATATTATTATCACCCCAGAAAATTCTCTCATGCCTGTTTGCAGTTAATCCTCACTCTGACTCTTAGCCTTAGAAAATCCTGGATCTGCTTTATGTTTCCAGAATTTTCTGAACATCCTATATAATAAAAGGCTAATATGCAAATCGACCAAATGGTGGAATGACCAGTCACTCTGACACACACTGACCAACAAGGGGTAGATGCTCAACACAGGAGTTTCCACCTGGTGGTCAGTGCACTCCCACAAAGGGAGTGCTGCTTAGCTAGAAGTCAGGCTTGCTGGGAGCAGGGCTAAGCCAGCAGGCTAACATTTCCCAAGGGGTCCTGGGCTCTGAGAGGGTGCAGGCCAGGCTGAGCCCTTCTCCGCGCACCACCCCCGCCCCTACCCCATGCACGAATGTTGTGCACTGGGCCTCTAGTCCTATATAAAAAAAGGCTAATATGCTGCTATAAAATTCTTGCACATGTCTTCTTATAGATATATGTCTTAATTTATCCTAGGTAGATTTTTGGGTCTTATGATAAATTTATGTTTATCTTTTTAAGAAACTGCCAAACTGTTTTCCAAGTGGTTGCACCATGGATTGGAAGACTCAATATTGTCAAGGTGGTAGTTCTTGCTTCTGCTTAAAAAAAAAAAAAATCACAGATACATACCTCCTCATTTGGCAAAGACACATATACCCGTTTGGTGAAACGCCTAAAAAAAGGATTCAAGCAATTCAGAAACAGAATTTTGAATTTCAAGGTACCTCAGTTTAAGTAGTAAATGACAAAAAAAAAAAAAAAAAAAAAGCTTTAAGTATAATGCTCAAGGCATGGGAAAGCATTTTATTTTTTTTTATTTTTTTTATTTATTTATTTTTTTTATCTTTGGTATTTTCTTTTTTATTTATTTATTTATTTATTTATTTATTTATTTATTTATTTATTTTTTTAGCAATCTTTATTGTTCATATTATTACAAAGGTTCCTCATTTCTTCCCCCCTCCACCAGGTTCCCACCCCACCCTCCGTCCCCCCCCATCCCCCACTGTCCTCATCCATAGGTGCAGTTTATGTTCAGTCTCTTCTTGGGAAAGCATTTTAGTCATCAATGTAAAAAATTATTTTGAGTTACTCTTTTAAAACTTCCTACTAAATATTTTAAATATATATTTTTATATGATTTCAGAGAGGAAGATTGGAAAATCAATGATGAGAGTTATTGATTGGCTGCCTCCTGCATGCCTCACACTGGGGACTAAGCCCACAACCTGGGCATGTGCAAGTCCTCTCGTGGCCATGTGCAAGTCCCAGCTTGGAGGGCAGAGCCCTCCCCGCACAATTATAGCCAACAGCTGTAGTTGTAAGCGTGAACCTATGGTACAAACATGTGGTCCCATGTGCCTAAGTGATATAGGCTGCAAGTAAACAAAGCTTGATCAGGTGCATGTAATTGAGTAGGATCAAAACTCACGAGAATGCTGTAAACATCTTGACCATGCCCTTACTGATATCCTGCTGGCCCTGACTTCAAAAACTTGAGTTGGTAACAAGAGGCCAGAGGATGAATATAAGGTGGAAAAGACTAAATTTATTTTCAAATTGAGAGTGAAGGAAATAATATATGAGATGGACACATGACTAAATATAACATATCTGTAATAAATGTGTTTTTCTACATAAATCTTCCTACCTGAGAATAGCGTCATCAAGCTCATGTGGTCTATTAGTTGCACCCATTACAAGTACTCTGTCATCTCCAACAGACTGTACCTATAAGCCAAAAAAATTTTTTTTCAGCACTTTTAGAGAAAGTAATAACAAAGTAACACAAAATAAAGATATCTGTATTTCTAATTTGGATCATTTAATAGGAAAATATATACATTAAAATTTTACAACATTAAAAATATCATAACCAATACTTACACCATCAAATTCTATTAGAAATTCAGTTTTTAGGCGTCTACTAGCATCATGTTCTCCTTCTCTTCTTTCACACAAAAGACTATCAACTTCATCTAGAGGAAAAAAGACTTGAATTAAAAGCCAACCTATATAAGTGATTGAGATTAATCTAGCTTACTACTTATTAATACAGTAGATCCTGTTCAATTTATTACATAGTCTTTAACATTATTTTTCTTGAAAACATTTTCCTTTTAAATAAGCTTTCCTATAATACCCTTTATATATGGAGAGGGAAATTTCACAAAGGTTCAACTAACTTAGTAAACATGTTCTTTTTTAAAATATATTTTATTGATTTTTTACAGAGAGGAAGAGAGAGGGATAGGGAGTTAGAAAGATCAATGAGAGAGAAACATTCACCAGCTGCCTCCTGTACACCCCATACTAGGGATGTGCCCCCAACCAATGTACATGCCCTTGACCGAAATCGAACCTGGGACCTTTCAGTTCGCAGACCGACCCTCTATCCACTGAGCCAAACCAGTTTTGGCAAACATGTTCTTACCTATAAAAATTATTGAAGGTTGAAGTTCTCGAGCCACAGCAAAAAGAGCTCTCACCAACTTTTCTCCTTCTCCCACCTAAAAGAGGCATTACACATGATCACATTCATAAAATGTAACATTAACATTTAGATAGTAACTTAAAAATTGAAAATACTGGAAAAAATACTCACATATTTTGAAGTTAAACTTGCAGCACTTATATTAAAGAAGGTCGCATTAGATTCTGCAGCTACAGCTTTAGCCTTTAAAAATCACAGGGGAAAATATTATATTAGTTTCATAACTTGCTGTAAAATTATAAATACATATGATCAACTTAAGAAAAGAATATCTAAAAATATAAGGCATGACACAGTCCTGAGTATATGGTAATGTGTTCTTTTCTTAACAATCTATGTGCTTCCTTCCACTCCCTCTTTTCCTAAGGGAGAATAGACAGGGAGAGATAAAAAAGAAGAAGAAAAAGAAAAGAAAAAAGAAAAAGGGTGTTATATCTTTCTAGTTATAGAAAGATAACTACAGAAAGATAAACAGCTAAGAAAAGTTACTTTTCCTTATTTACTTTTTGCCTCTAGAACTTCTAGTTATGCTGGAGAAAAGTATCCAGATCCTAATAATTTTCGGCAAAAGGATATTACAGAAAAAATATGTGTTGTGTGTCAATTATACTTCAATTTAAAAATAGGAAAAAAGTCTATATCATGCTGATTATTTAAATAAAGCAGTTAAGATAAAAAAAAATTGCCCTAGGTGGTTTGGCTCAATGGATAGAGCATCTGCCTGCAGACTGAAGGGTCCCAGGTTCGATTACGGTCAAGGGCACATGCCCGGGTTGCAGGCTTGATCCTCAGAAGAGGCGTGCAGGAGGTAGCCAATCAATGATTCTCACTCATCATTGATGTTTCTCTCCCCCCCCCCACCTTTCTCTCTAAAATCAATAAAATATATATTTTTTTAAATCAAGGATTAGGAAGATGCTCAATATAGTAAGCTCTTCTAAGGTAAAAATGTTATTTAAATTGGGAAAATAATAAAAATTACACTGTTAAATTTAATTTGCCCAAACATATTATTGCAAATAATATGTATGGTTTTCCATCTATTTTGTCAAGTATATTTTAACAAAAAGCAAGATATAACTCTAGCCGGTTTGGCTCACTGGATAGAGAGTTGGCTTGCAGACTGAAGGGTCCTGGGTTTGATTCCGGCCAAGGACACATGCCTGAGTTTCAGGCTTGATCCTGTGAGGGTGTGCTGGAGGCAGCCAATCAATGATTCCCTCTCATCATTGATGTTCCTCTCTCTCTCCCTTCCCTTCTTCTCTGAAATCAATAAAAATATATTTTTTTAAAAAGCAAGTCATAAATAGTAGACTTAGAGATGACATCTATAATACTTTCAACAATAAAGATACATTTTAAAAATTCATAATAGATTCAGCGACTATGTAAAATTGTTATTTTTAATTATTAATATCTTAATAGAACATTCAAAATTAAAAAGAATTCTTACCAGCATTGTTTTCCCATTTCCAGGTGGACCAAAGAGTAGCAATCCTCTGGCAGGAGTTCTAAGCCCTGTGAACAACTTAAACATATACACACAGTTATGATTCTGAAGATATTTTTTCCAGACACTTTAAGAATTATTTGTCATCTAGCCGAGACTGGTTTGGCTCAATGGATAGAGCGTCGGCTTGGGGACTGAAAGGTCCCAGGTTCGATTCCGGTCAAGGGCATGTACCTTGGTTGCGGGCATATCCCCAGTAGGGGGTGTGCAAGAGGCAGCTGATCGATGACTCTCTCTCATCGATGTTTCTAACTCTCTATCTCTCTCCCTTCCTCTCTGTACAAAAATCAATAAAATATATTAAAAAAAAATTATTTGTCATCTAAAAAGAATAATTTTCAGTAGCATCCTCCAAAACAGAGCTGCCCAGAGCTCTAGGGAGAACACAATAAACTAGTATAATTATTAAAAACAGAAGAAAACAAAACACTAAATCCTCATGATCAAGATGAAAACAGACTTGTTGAACAAGCCATATTATTGAGCATAGGTAAGCTTCTCTACTTCCTTTACAAATCTCACCAAAATAATAGTAAATGAGCAAAAAGATAAAAATCTTCAAAAGAAAAAGAATAGGAAAGGAGACCACAGAGGACACAATAAATTTTAGTAGATGGAAAATTGATAAAGTGTGAAGTTATTAAGCAGAGCTGAGGGAGCTAAAACCTAAGTGCCTGCTTGTGAAGGGATAACTAGATACAAGGAGCAAACTGATATGAATAAAAACCCTGGAAAAGCTCAGGAACTGAAGGTATCAGGTACCAGAGAAAGCACCAGTAAGGTAGGCAGCCCAAAACAGAGAAACTGATTAAAAATTTGTATGAAGAACTGAAAACAGGTTCCTGTAAACCTCTCCCTAGCCCCACCAACAGCACTTAGGCAAGTATTCCTCTTCCACAACCAAAGAAGATAGAAGTTTTATTCTAGAGAAATTAAACCAGAGTCTCCAAACTCAGGAACATCAGGATTGGCAAGAGTCAATGGTATGAACTCCCCCATCACCAAAAAAAAAGTTTTTATTTATTAGAAAGAGAGAGAGAGAGAGAGAGAGAGAGAGAGAGAGAGAGAGAGAGAGAGAGAGAGAGAAACATTGATGATACAGAAACACTGTCAGATGACTCCTATACACCCCCTACTGGGGATCCAGCTGTCAACTGGGAAACGTACCCTGACCAGGAATCGAACCGGCAACCTCTTTGTGTATGGAATGATGCTCAACCAATTTGAGCCATCTCAGCCGGGCAAGGTGTTGAACCATTTGAAGTGGGTGATACTCAACTTATTTTTAAAATTATATATATTTTTAGAGGTTTTAGGCTTACAAAAAATTGGATGGAAAAGTACAGAGTTGCCATATAACTCCTAAACTCCCATTTCTCCCATTATTAACATCTTGTGTTAGTGTGGTACATAAACCAATACTGATACATTATTATTAACTAAAGTCTATAATTTACATTATGGTTCACTATTTCTATTGTGCAATCCACTATTACAGTATCATATATCATCATTTCCCTTCCTAAAAATATCTACTGTGACATGAATTAATCACTTTAGCATAGCTCAAATATTTCTTTACTGCTACTACAGATTCAGTAATAGATGATGTTACAGAAAAATAATAATATATAATCCTTACCTCAGGCCTCAGAGAAGGAAGAATGACAATTTCTTGTAATGCTTGTTTTGCTAATTCTTGACCAGCTATATCGTCAAATTTAACAGCTATTCCACTAAGAAACAAAATTTCAATTATCTCCACAATAGAAATATGCTTCAGTTATTGTAAAACACTTTAGATGGCAAAACTTACTTGTCTACAATTTCATTCATTATAAGGTTAGCGAGGTTACTGTCCACGTTCCTAAAATTCTTCAAGTCTTTCTTTTTACGAGCAGCAGTTGTAGGGGTTGAAGGTTTATTTGTTCGATTTGTTTTTGGTGTGCTCTTAAAGGACACAAATTTTAACATGAGAATACAACATAACATTTACACTTTTCACAAGTGAGTTAACTTAAAGTTCACAGAGGTTCAAAAATAGGAAAAAGAACATAAAATGTTTTTTAAAATGTATATTTTTAAAATCATATTCACTAAAAAGTACACTTAGCATGCAGTGGGTTAATAGAGGATTTTATCCAGAGATTTAGTTATTAAAAGGTAAAAAGGCTCTATGACAATGCAATCATGTAATTTTGATCCTTGTTAGAACTGTATGTTTAATGTTACAAAACATTTACATAAGTTTAAATAATTAAAATAATAACAAATTTAAAATGAACTACATAGCATTATATAAAACTGGATAAGCAAACTTACTACAAATAAAGCCTAATTAGGATCAAAGGAGGTAAAATAAGATATGTTTTTTAACAGCAAGTCGCCCTGACTTTTATTAAAAAGAAAAATTATATTCAATTTTATGGAAACTTACCAATCCTTTAAGGTATTATAAAGTACTTGTAATAAAATTTTCTATTTGCAATTCTATATCCAAATACCTTATGAGTGGCAGCTGCAGGACCAGGGCCTTGTCTCACTCCAGAAACCATGGGTAAACCACTGCAACTGGGTGCTCTGTGGTGGCCTGAGAGACCTGTGGATCCAGCTTTCATAACTGTCTTTGAACGAGGCAGCGAATTACTAGGGTGTGCTAAGGGGTCTTTTCTTTTTGGAACTGCTCCACTTTCTATTAAAGAAATAGTAAAATCGCTGTGGTTAGAAGATTGTGGTTTAACATTATAAAAGGAATAATAAAAGTAGCTCAGTTGGTTAGAGCATAATACCCATGTGCCAAGGTTGCGGGTTCCATCCCTGGTAAGGGCACAAAAAAGAATCAAGCAATGGACCCAGCTGAGAGGTCACGGTTTGATTCCCAGTCAAGCCACATATGCTCAGGTTGTGGGCTCGATTTCCAGAATGAGGCCAGCAGGAGGCAGCCAATCAATGATTTGCTCTCATCATTAATGTTTCCATCTCTCTCCCTCTCCAAAATCAATAAAAAAAAATTATTTCAGAGAGGAAGGGAGAGGGATAGAGAGATAGAAACATCAATGATGAGAATCATTGATTAGCTGCCTCCTGCACACGCCACACTGGGGATCGAGCCTAAAACCCAAGCATGTGCCCTTGGCTGGAATCGAACCTGGGACCCTTCAGTCTGCAGGCCGAAGTTCTATCCACTGAGCCTAACCAGCTAGGGCAAAAATATTTTTTAAAAATCAGCCAGCCCTAGCTGGTTTGGCTCAGTGGATAGAGTCAACCTGCGGACTGAAGGGTCCCAGGTTGGATTCCGGTCAGGGGCACATGCCCAGGTTGTGGGCTTGATTTCTAGTAGCAGGCGTGCAAGAGGCAGCCAATCAATGATTCTCTATCATCATTGATGTTTTTTTCTCTCTCCCTTCCTCTCTAAAATCAATCTCTCTCTCTCTACACACACACACACACACACACCTGTCTTTCCACCTTCCCAGGCTGCCCAGAGGCCCACAAGCATCGCGTCCCAACCCACTCCGCCCTGCCCCTGGCTCCTCTGTGCCCACATATACAAATTAACCCATCATCTTTGTTGGGTTAATTTGCATACTCACTCCTGGTTGGCTGGTGGGCATCACGAAGGTACAGTCATCTTACTCTTTTATTAGCTAGATACACACACACACACACACACACACACACACACACACTTAAAAATAAATAAATAAATAAATAAATAAATAAATAAATAAATAAATAAATAAATAAAAGTTTTGCATGGCAGAAAAATATAAGGGAATTAAGCACGTGGAAAGAAGTAGAAGAGAATCTAGACAACAACGAGAATGCATACAAGCTTTTCAAGGCTAGGAAATTATTGCAGTTTATCCTGATAGAATTATTAGGATCTCAAATCTGTACTTTGGAAGCTTAATTATTTATATGTGGTGTATTCTTACATTTCTTTCTTTTCAAAAAGTTCCTTATGAAAATGTCAGCGTTTCACAGTAGTGCTAAGAGAAACAGATAAAATTATTTACCTCTATACTTAAAATGTTATTTTAAGACAAGTACAGGAAGAAATGAGAAGAGAAATATAGCTACTGATGCAGGGCTCTGAACTGAACTGGAAACCAAACCTAAATGAGAAATCTAAGGGATCACTGAAGCCACAGGGAAAGATTTCATTAATGACCAACTATCTCTCTTATCTATAGAAATCCACTTACACTAACTCTTCTCTATTAAAATATTGAAAATTTTGTATTATGTATGAATAAAGAAGGCAATGGTCTTACAGTCTGGACTAAGGGTGTTTCCTCTTTTTTATTTACTGTAATTTAAACAAAGCAATATTAATTTCAATAAAATTTAAGCTCTGTACATGAAACTATTGTTGAAGAAACTATTGTTGAAGAAGTTTGGCCAATAAAACTGACCAAAATGTCAGAGAACTTAGGAAATAAAGGTTCTTCCCACCAAAACAAAATTTAAAAAGTATTTAATGTTCTGTAAGAGTTCATACCTAAAAGTTCATGAAAAATAAATAATAGTACTCGAATGTTTCTCACTTTGTGAATTCAGCTTCAATTTTTTCTAACAGGTATTATGATAAAACATTCATGTATAGCATACATGAAAACTGATATGTGAAAATTGATATATAAGAAAAATAAAAATTTCTTTCTTTTTAAAAAATATATATATTTTATTGATTTTTTACAGAGAGGAAGACAGAGGGACAGAGAGTCAGAAACATCGATGAGAGAGAATCATCGATCAACTGCCTCCAGCACCCCCCCCCACTGAGGATGTGCCCGTAACCAAGGTACATGCCCTTGACCGGAATCGAACCCGGGACCTTTCAGTCCGCAAGCCGACGCTCTATCCACTGAGCCAAACTGGTTTTGGCTAAAAGTTTCTTTTAAAACAACCACCTCTTCATAAAAACCTGGTTTAGCTACCTAAGAAAAAACCCCCACAAAAGTTAAAAATCCAATAGAAACAAAAGGATATTTTAAACTTAGAAAAATGAATCTTTGCATTTTGTAATTTCAAAAATTAGAAGTTGCAAAAAAGCATGTTAAGAATGGTAATATCTTGCCAAAACCAGTTTGGCTCAGTGGATAGAGCGTCGGCCTGCAGACTGACGGGTCCCAGGTTTGACTCCAGTCAGGGGCATGTACCTTGGTTACAGGCACATCCCCAGTAGAGGATGATGGGAGGCAGCTGATCGGTGTTTCCCTCTCATTGATGTTTCTAACTCTCTATCCCTCTCCCTTCCTCTTTGTAAAAAATCAATAAAATATATATATATTTTTAAAAAAGAATAAAGGAAAATTAGGAGAAGTTAATTGCGGTAACTAAATACATAGCAACTTGTTTTTGAGAAAATAAGATGTGTTTTCTCTTAAATAATTAAGAATTTCCTAATTAATTTGAAAGTAAAAAATAATAATTAAAAAAAAGAATAGTAATATCTTATTTGTTATATGTTTATACACTAAGACTAATAGGAATACTGTATTTTCAACATAGCCCCGTGCAAACAAAAAACAATCAAAACTACCATTATAAAATCAAATCAACATTATCACGTTAAGTGGACTTTACTTTGCATGCAAACTTTATTATTTTACATGTTAGTTAACCTAAACCCACCTGACGGGAGCTGTCCATTGCGGCATGTCAAGTTAGTACTATCATTATAGACGTCTTGTAATTTGGAAAATTGCAAAACTGGTTGCAGCTTCTCTATGCAACAGAGGGGGGTAAGAAAGAACAAAATAAACAAAAATACAAAATACATAATAAACATAATGATATGAGTAAAAATGAAAAATGAGTTAAGTTGTTACAAGACTGTTGCATGATGAAGGGTTTTACGTTTTTATAAAATTTTCCTAAAAAATATAATTAGTAAAAACTCAGACGTTAAAATAGCAGCAGGAATTAACAAATGGATGGCTATGTTAAAAAATACACCTTATTCAGGTTTGGTAACCCGAGGAGTTCCACATCACTATTATCACCAGCAAATATTTTCTGAAAATCTAGTATGTCCAAGTCATTGGGTGGAAAGAGAAGTATCGAGATAAATAAATGAATATGGTTTATAGCATCCATATACTTATTAAATATAATTGGCAACTTACAATTTGGCAATTAAAAAAAAGATTGTGTAGCATAAAAGAAAGAAAACATTAAACAGGCTTTATAGAAAAAGTGGGCTGTGAATTGGCTAGGATTTGAAAAGGTAAAAAGAAAAGACATTTCAGGAAAGAATGGTACTTAAAATTGCACAGAAGGAAACTACCTGGAGTGTCTAAAAAATGCCATATTCAACTGCCTTAATATATGTCAAGCAAAAGATAAAGGCAATAAAACAGAATGGCTAAAGCACACTTCAGAACTATGTGTACAACTCCTTACCATTTCTTTGTGCAAACTTGTGTCAGTAGTCCCCCTTTATCTGCAGGGAATACATTCCAAGACCCCAGTGGATCCCTGAAAGCATGGATAGAACCGAACCCTACATATACTATGGTTTTTCCTACACAAACACACCTATAATTAAGTTTAATTTATAAATTAGGCACAGTAACAGATTAGCAGCAATAACTAACAAAACAGAATGATTATAAGATACTGTAATAAGTTACATGAATGTGGTCTTTCTCTAATAACTGATCTGATCACTGAGATGGCTATTGAGTGACTAACTGGCGAGTAGCGAATGCAGAGCGGATATGCTGGACAAAGGGATGATTTACAAAGGGACAGAATAAGAAGACTTGAGATTTCATCGTGCTACTCAGAACAGCATGTAATTTAATTATACACTATTTCTTTCTGGAATTTTCTATTTAATACTTTTGGACTGCAGTTGACTGAAACTACAGAAAACAAAGCCATAGGGGAGAAAGGATACAGAGATTCCCTAACCGATTTGGTCCCAGGTTCCATTCTGATCAAGGGCATGTACCTTGGTTGCGGGCTCAATCCCCAGTAGGGGGCGTACAGGTGGCAGCTGATAGATGTTTTTCTCTCATCGATGTTTCTAGCTCTCTATCCCTCTCCCTTCCTCTCTATAAAATCAATAAAAAGGATGCAGAGAAACTGATGACAGCAGCTGCCATTGGGGAAGGGAAAGGAGTGGTTGGGGCATAATATTGGATTTTTACACTTAAACTTGTAAAACTTTGTGGCATGTGCCTATATCACCTATTTTAAAAATTAACCAAAAATATAGAAGAATTTAATTCTATCCCTACTTCAAATAACAACAAATTTTCTCTCATGATCTAGAGCTCTAGACCTACCTACCACCTGAAGCTCAATAGGGTAGCAGTTTGAAATTCCTTGCCACTCTACATCATTGCTGCACGCCTTTTCCCCATCCAAGTCAATCAATATTGCTAGCTGACAAACACCCTGCTCCACAGCATGAACTTGCTCACTACTCACTAGCATGAACTTGCTTTAGCTTCAGTTTTCTGACAGTTTCAAGGATTAAATAAAATCCTATATAATAAAAGCCTAATATGCTAAGTGTCCGGTCGACCGGTCAGCCACTCAAGCAATCAAAGTGTAATATGCTAATGATATGCTAAGGCCACTCAACCACTCACTATGACATGCACTGACTACCAGGGGGCAGATGCTCCAATCAATAGGTTAGCTTGCTGCTGTGGTCCAGCTGATCAGGACTGAGATGGGCTGGACACGCCCTGGAGCCCTTCTGCGATGCCTCCCCAACCCCAATCCTGCACAAATGGGGCCCCTTGGTCTGGCCTGCACCCTCTTGCCATCTGGGCTGGGGTATCCCTCCCCCCTCCCCCCCATAAATTTCATGCACTGGGCCTCTAGTATATACATAAAGTACCTACCCTATGCTTCAGCCACAATAGGGGCTCAATTTTTATATTAATATGGTTGAAACATTCCAAGTTATCATAACTGATTATTTTCTTCAATACTAGAAAGTCAAGGAATACATGCAAAAATATATCACATATATACTAACTCTCTTAAAACTTCCATTTCTACCGTCAGAGAAGCATGCGTCATGATTGGTTTATGGTACACCACATGTGCCTCCTGGACAGGTTAAAAAGCAGTGACCCTTTTGCACAAAGCACAAAGTACTGCACAGCTTTTGTATCCTAGAACTGACTGATACAATATACCTCGGAGCTGGAGGTTTTTTTTGTTCTTGTTAGTTAACAGGTAGGTCATCTGATTTTTCTCAATGATAATACTGTTCAAATCACCATACTGAGAAAGAACCTTTTGTGTTGAAAAAGATATAAATTAGAGCCTGGCCAGTATGCCTCACCAGTTGAGGGTCAACCCAGGAACTAAGAGGTTACAGGCTTGATTTCCGGTCAGGGCATATGCCCAGGTGGTGGGCTCAGTCCCCAGTAGGGGGCGTGCAGGAGGCAGCCAACTGATGATATTTCATTCTCATCAATGATTCTATCACTCTACCCCTCTCCATTCCTCTCTCTAAAAGTCAATTTAAAAAATGATACAAATTAGAAAAAAACATTGATTTGTAAATGTCTTCTTTATTAACACTTTCTTCAATGAAATGTAACAAAAGTTCACATAAACATTCATTATTTAGTAAAAGTAATCAGAAATTAAATCCTTAGCTTTGATAACAACTAGGAATAAAAACCATAGAACTTTTTTTTTTTTTTTAATGTGTAGAGTTTAGTTTTATTTTTTATCTTATTATTTGTTATTCCTCACCGGGGATATTTTTTCATTAGTTTTCAGGGAGAGGGAGAGAGAGAGGAAAAGACAGAGAGAAACATTGATGTGAGAGAAACACATCAATTGGTTGCCTCCTGCCTAAGCCCCAACCAGGGTCCAGGCCGGGGAAGAGCCTGCAACCAAGCTATGCACCTTTGACTAGAATCAAATCTGAGACCCTTTTGTCTGCAGCTGACGCTCTATACTCTGAGCCAAACTGGCATGGAAAAACACACAGACCTAGTAGTAGTACACTGCTAATGTGAACCTGTTTGTATTCATTTTTGTTCAAGAATATAAACTTAATTTAATGCTTTTTTTAGAATGACTAAACATCGTGCAATCAATAATTTAAAATACAACAATCATCTTGCTTTTTTATCCCTTCACTTGCAAACCCTATATAATCATCTACTTAAAAGAAAAATTTGCCCTGGCCGGTATGGCTCAGTTGATTTCTAGTCAGGGCACACATCTTGACTGTGTGGGATGTATAGAAAACAGCCAATCAATGATTCTCTCTCAACATTGATGTTTCTATTTCTCTCTCTGTCTCTAAAATCAATAAAAATATATGTATTTTTAAAAGCTCTATCTTAAGTCTTTGAGAGTCATATGATCTTTGTATCAACTATTTAACTTAGTCACTGTAGCATGAAAGCAGCCAGACAGTGAAGAAAGGAGAGTAGCTGTGAACCAATTCATAAAAATGGGCAGTGAACTGGGATTAGCTCATGGGTCGTAGTTTACAAGCCTTTAATCAAGACTGACTATGGGTTGATAGTTATTAAAGCTAAGTGATGGATAATTATCATTATACTCTTCTATTTTGCATGTTAGAACTTTACTATAGGAAAAAAAGCCTAGCCGAAGCCGGTTTGGCTCAGTGGTAGAGCGTCGTTCTGCAGACTGAAAAGTCCCAGGTTCGATTCCAGTCAAGGGCATGAACATTGGTTGTGGGCACATTCCCGGTAGGGGGTGTGCAAGAGGCAGCTGGTCGATGTTTCTAGCTCTCTATCTCTCTCCCTTCCTCTCTGTAAAAAAATCAATAAAATATAAATATTTAAAAAAAAGAAAAAGAAAAAAAAGCCTAGATCACATTATCAAGATCATTGATCTATTTTCATCTACATTAAGAGTTTCAATGAATACATATTTCAGATACAATTCATTCCAATTATAAAATTCATTAATACCTAGAAGTTGTAAACGATCCTTGGCCATAACCAGATTAGTCATCATTTTAGCTTGAAGGCGTCTAGCTCTTTCATACTGTTCACCTGAAAGAAAAAAAAAAAAGAATTAAAATGCCTATGTTTTCTTACTAATATTGCTTTAAGATAAAATATTAGCCCAGCTAATCTCATGGGGAGTCATAGTCTTTATAAAAAAAATTAAGAAAAGCCTGGCCAGTGTGGCTCAATGTTTGAGCATCCACCCATGAACCAAGAGGTCACTGGTTCCATTCCCAGTCAGGGGACAGGCCTGGGTTTAGGGCTCAATCCTCTGTGGGGGTGTGGAGTAAAAAGAAATATTGGTGATGTTTTTCTCTCATTGACGTTTTTTTATTTTATTTTTTTATTGTTTAAAGTATTACATAGAGTAGTACTTATATCTCCTTCCCCGCCCCATTGACCTTCCCCCAGCTTCCTCTAACCCCTGTCGCATGCCCTCACACCACCATCCCAGTGTCTTGTGTCCATTGGTGTGCTTATATGCATGCATACAAGTCCTTTGGTTGATCTCTTTCCCCCTCCCCAACACTCCCCAGTCTTCCTGCTGTAATTTGAGTCTGTTTGGTGCTTGACTGCCTCTGTATCTCTCTCTCATTGATGTTTTTATCTATCTCTCTTTCTTTCTCTCTAAAAATCAATACCCCCCACCTCCCCCACACACACATTATTGATTTCAAAGAAGAAGGAAGGGGGAGAGGGAGACAGAAACATCAATGATGAGAGAGGATAATTGATTGGCTGCCTCCTGCATGCCCCCTACTGCGGATTAAGCCTGCAACCCAGGCATGTGCCCTTGACCAGAATCAAACTCCGGACCCTTTAGTCCACGTCCAATGCTCTATCCACTGAGCCAAACCAGCTAAGTAAAAACATATTTAAAATATTAATATTATTTCCGAAAAATAAGCTACAGATCTATGTGCTGATTTCAGATCTCCTGTGACATTACATAAATTTTGAGACATATCACTTTCCTTATGTTTTAAAATCTTTGAAATTTGGATGTGTTTTACACATACCAACTTTGTACTGCTATCAGCCAGGCTGCAGTCATAACGTAGTTTGTCACTGCCTGTGCATGCACCACTTTGGTCATAGATATTAATACTGCTGTCATAGCTATGTCTTTTAAATAAAATAGGACAGAAAATTCAATATTGTTTAAAATTCAGCCCTAACCGGTTTGGCTCAGTGGATAGAGCATTGGCCTGCAGATTGAAGGGTCCCAGGTTTGATTCCAGTCATAGGCATGTACCTTGGTTGCAGGCACATCCCCAATAGGGGGTGTGCAGGAGGCAGCTGATCGATGTTCTCTCTCATCAATGTTTCTAACTCTCTATCCCTCTCCCTTCCTCTCTGTAAAAAAAAAATCAATAAAATGTTTTTTTTTAAAAATGGTTTAAAATTAAAATTCTAAGTGATAAGAAGATAATGTGTCAGTTTAATTGACATTGTTTTGTTTTTTTTTTAGTGGTAGATTTTAAGGCATTTTTGATTAAGTGAAATACCATTTTAAAAAATACATTTTTATGATTTCAGAGAGGGAGGGAGAAGGTGAGAGAGATAGAAATATCAACGAAGGGGGAATCATTGATTGGCTGCCTCCTGCACACTCCCTATTGGGGATCAAATCCACAACCCAGGTATGTGCCCTGGACCAGAATCTAATCCAAGACCCTTAAGTCTGTAGGCTGACACTCTATCCACTGAGCCAAACCAGCTAGGTCTGAAATACCATTCTTATAACCAAATCATTTTCTTCAAACTCTTCTAAGCAACTGATGAAGAACAGCAAATATATTTTGTATATAATTCATTGTCACGCTCATAAACTTATGAGTCTCAAATGCCCAACCACCTGTATTTACTTGTTGTATTCTGTTCTGTTTTAAGCAGAAGACCAGTAGCTAGAGAAGTAATCAAAATAAAAAGGGACAGAAAATAACATGGCAAACATAGGACACATTGTAATTATTGGAAGTTAGGTGATACAAGTATTAGCCAGTGACACAATGAACATCCACTGGGTGGACTGATCCATAAGACTAAGATTCTTAGCCTACATGGTATTATTTTTGCTTCTGATTTTATCTTAGTTATGATAAGTCGGAGAACTTTACTTATTTAATAGAGGTACCCATGTATTATACAATAGTCACAGTATAGAATTTAAGAATTCAGGCTCTGAAGTCAGATTGCCTAGATTCAAATCCTGATCCCACCACTCATAGTATGAGGCCTTAAGCAAGTTACTTCTTTGTACTTAAAATTATTCATCTGAAAAATAATGGTAACAGCAAGCAGCCTCAGAGGGTAGGATTGTGGTGAAAATTAAGAGATCCTACGTATAAAGCATGTTCAATGATGCTTAGGCAAGCGTTAAATGTGCAATAAATGTTATCTATATATTAAAAGATAATATTAGACTCTAATTTTTTTATTTTAGATGGTAGGAAAGTAAAGATAAGAAATAACTGGGTTTTAAAAAGATAAGTGTGAATCAAAGTAAGACATTTATAGCGCATATTCTAACATGTAGTCAAGCAATAATCACGGGTGCAACGGGGAGTCTGTAAATTGAACACTTTCCCCTGCCTCAACAATGAGGAAAAGTTTCAAAAATATGACTATAGATTGATATTTTTGGTGGTAAGAAAGGTATCATACCTGGAAGCAGGTTAAGATTAAAGACACCTAAGTATATTATGTCAACTTTATTTTAATAAAAAGAAAAAAGAAATACATGTGTACATGCACACAGCATCCAGGTATAATTATAGTCAACCCTTTTCTTACTGTAGCAAAAGTAAAACTTTTATAGTGAAAATTGGTACAAAGCCAAGACCGGTTTGGCTCAGTGGATAGAGCATCGGCCTGTGGACTGAAAGGTCCCAGGTTCGATTCCAGTCAAGGGCATGTACCTTGGTTGCGGGCACATCCCTGGTGGGGGGTATGCGGAAGGCAGCTGATTGATGGTTCTCTCTCATAGATGTTTATAGCTCTCTATTCCTCTGTGTAAAAAATCAATAAAAAATATATATAAAAAAAGAAAAAAAAGAAAATTGGTACAAAAATAATATGGCTAACATAAGGCTAAAGCATCACTAACAGTGGGTCCAAGGACACAAGTAATACATTGTTTTTTTGCCTGATTACTACAGGCATAATCAACAAGTTTGAGCATTTTTGGTTATAACTTTATTTCTGCATAGGTAAAAACACATGAATTGTAAGTCTACAAACATTAACAATTACATTTTCTAAGACATTTAAATACTTCTATAAGACAAACGAATCTAAAATCAAGGCAATCGTGAATATAATATGGATGGCTCCTAAACAAATGTAAATATAACCTTACCTTGTCCTATAACTACGACAGCTATTCCTTTTTCTAGTTCTTCAATACCTTTCTTATACCATTCCACAGCTTGCTCCTTTTGTCCTGCTTTAAAAGAGAAATAATTATTTGTATATATCACAAGTATAAAGAATACACTACACATCTCCCAAAGCATGCTGTTATCTGGTATACATGAAAAAGAGGCTTGTGATAAAATAAATTTGAAACTATTACTATATGACTTCTTAGTATCTTTAGCATCTTAACATATATGTGAATCTCCAAGAGATGGACATAGACTTCAATGAAGGAAGTCTTATGATGAAAGGAGGCCAATGTAAATGACCTGAGTTTAATCTCCCCCACTTTCATCTTTAAAAAATAATTTTTTTTGCCGAAGCCGGTTTGGCACAGTGGTAGAGCGTCAGTCTGCGGACTGAAGGGTCCTGGGTTCATTCCTGGCATGTACGTTGGTTGTGGGTGCATCCTCGGAGGGGGTGTGCAGGAGGCAGCTGGTCAATGTTGCTCTCTCATTGACGTTTCTAGCTCTCTCTTTCTCTCTTCCTCTCTGTAAAAAATCAATATATATTTTTAAAAAATAATAAATAAATAAATAAATAAATAAATAAATAAATAAATATTTTTATTGATTTCAGAGAGGAAAGGAGAAAGATAGAGATAAAAACAAGAATGATTCCGGAACCGGTTTGACTCAGTGGATAGAGCGTCGGTCTGTGGACTGAAAGGTCGGGTTCGATTCCGGTCAAGGGCATGTACCTTGGTTGCGGGCACATTCCTGGTAGGGGGCGTGCAAGAGGCAGCTGATCGAGGATTCTCTCTCATCGATGTTTCTAACTCTCTATCCCTCTCTCTTCCTCTCTGTTAAAAAATCAATAAAATATATTAAAGAAAACAAAAACAAAAACATGAATGATGAGAGAGAATCATCAATTGGCTGCCTACTGGACATCCCATACTGGGGGATCAAGCCACAAACTCAGGCATGTGCCCTGATCTGGAATCGAACCATGACCTCCTGGTTCAAAGGTCAAAGCAATCTTCTGAGGCAGGGATGATACTCAACCAACTGGGCCACACCAGTCAGCGCTCTGAGATCTAATTTGCTATACAGAGACCTAATTTATTCTTTTTGACTTCTGTATAGTATCCTATATCATCCTATAATTTATTCAACAACCTAAATAAAAGATATGTAGGTTGTTTCCAGTGTTTCAACATCTCAAATAAGGCTGCAATAAATGTTTTTGTGCCTTTCCCCTTATGCGTATGTGCCAGTTTCTCCAGGGTATATGCTTAAGAAGTAGAACTGATGGATCAGAGCTCATCACTTATTCTCTATTCACGAGAAACCTACTGCTTTTTGAGTGCTTGTACCAATTTATACTTTTAATAGCAGTGTGTGATAGTTCTCATTGGTTACATATGAATAAAATGTTCTGTTTTAGTGTATTACCATAGGCAAATGAAAGGCTGGTTACTAATTAATTCACAGCTCAGAAATTATTCAGTTACCTAATATTCTTTGGTAGCAGATAGTTGATTTACTGCATTACTTAAATCTCATAAGTCAGCACAATATAAAATACATATAGGTTTTCTTATCTAAAAGTAGAAGACCCCGAAACCAGTTTGGCTCAGTGGATAGAGCATCGGCCTGCGGACTGAAAGGTCCCAGGTTCGATTCTGGTCAGGGGCATGTCCCTTGGTTGCGGGTATATCCCCAGTAGGGGGTTTGCAGGAGGCAGCTGACCGATGTTTTTAGCTCTCTATCCTTTCCCTTCCTCTCTGTAAAAAATCAATAAAATATATATTTAAAAATTAAAAATAAAAGTAGAAAGACTATAGGAGAAAGGACAGACATATAGGTCAATTCAACAGAAGAGAATGTCTGTCCTACACATATATTATTGGCTGGCTCTGACAAAGACGACTATGTAATTCAAAGGAGAAAGAATAGCCTTCTCAAAAAATGATGTTGGGCCTGGCTGTGTTGAGTGTCATCCCGTGCACCAAAAGACTGCCAGTCTGATTCCCAGTCAGTGCACATACCTGGATTGCATGGCAGGGGATGTGCAGGAGACAGCCAATTGATGTTTCATTCTCACATTGATGTTTCTCTCTCTTTTTTTTTCTTTTTCACATTGATGTTTCTCTTTTTCTCTCTTTCACTCCCTCCATCTCCCTTAAAAAAAATTAAGTTTTTTTTTTTTAAAGATGTTGAAATAGATGTAGATATGAAAAAAAGCCACCTTCATGTGACATGCAAAAATTGAAATAGATCACACACCTACATGAAAAACCTAAAAAATATAAAATGTATTAAAAATATAGACAAAATCCAGAGTGGAAGGGGGTGGGGGGACTGGATTAAAAAAGGTGAAAGAATTAGCCAAATAGTATGTGATGGCCAGGGCATGGGGGCAGGGGCTAGGTGGAAATAGGCAAAGGGAAGAAAATGGGGGACATCTGTAATAGTGTCAAAAATAGAAATAAATATATTCTTGCCTTTAGAAAAAAAAAAAATATAGACAAAATCCTTTGTAATCTTGTCTTAGTAAAAAAGACTTGTTAAACCGAACATAAAAATCACAAACCTTAGGAGAAAAATACTGGACTTCACTAAAATTAAAAGCTCCTGCTCTTCAAACACAGATGATGAAAAGCCACAGATTTACTGGAAGAAAATATTTGCAAAACAAAATGCCTAACAAAGGACTTATAACCAGAATATATAAAGGTCTCTTAAATACAATGATAAAAAACACGCAAGTGCCAAAACCGGTTTGGCCCAGTGGATAGAGCGTTGGCCTGCAGACTGAAGGATCCTGGGTTCGATTCCCGTCAAGGGCATGTATCGATACCTTGGTTGTGGGCACATTCCCAGTGGGGGGTGTGCAAGAGGCAGCTGATCAATGATTCTCTCTCATCGATGTTTCTAACTCTCTATCCCTCTCTCTTCCTCTTTGTAAAAAATCAATAAAATATATTAAAACACACACACACAACCCATTAAAAAAATAGTGGTCAAGCCCTAACTGGGTTAGCTCAATGGATAGAGCATCGGCCTGTGAACTGAGGGATCCCAGGTTCTATTCCAGCCAAGGGCATGTACCCAGGTTGTGGGCTTGGTCCCCAGTAAGTGGTGTGCAGGAGGCAGCCAAGCAATGATTCTTTCTTATCACTGATGTTTCTCTCTCTCTCTCTCTCTCTCTCTCTCCCCCTTACCCTTCTTCTCTGAACAATAAAGACATATTTTTTAAAAATAGTGGTCAAAGGAAAGACAAATGGCATAGCACGAGAAAAGATATGCTCATTAGTTGTTATCAATGTGAGAGAGAAACATCAGTTGCCTCCCATATGGGATTTGAACCCACAACCAAGGTTATGTAGCCTGACCCACAAATAAGACATGGGGCCTGAGGGAATCAAACCAACAACCTTTTTGGAGCATGGTTCAATGCTCAACCAACTGAGCCACCTGCTGGGCTGGAAATTTATTTTTTATAAAACCTGACAAATACTAGTGTGTGTGTATATATATATATTTTAGGACACAAAATTTTCTTTATTTGTTGAGGAAAGGGATGCCATACTTCCACTGAATTAGAGAAACATTAAAAAATTTTTTTTATTGATTTCAGAAAGAAAGGAAGGAGAGATAGAAACATCAATGATGAGAGAATCAATGATCGGCTGCCTCAGAAACATTTATCAGCACAGAAGTCTTTTTTTATTTTTTCCGTTATCATGCCATGAATTCATAGGGAATGGGATCCAGCAGATCAGGCTCCTTTCCATTGGTTCTCACAAAGTGTGCTTCTCTGGGTGGAGCGGGCTGACGCTTCAGTTGAACCCAGGTATCTCTCTCTTTGGCTTCCTTCTTTTTCTGATCATTTTCTTTCACATGTTTCAGGAAGCTATCTCAACTCTTAATGTACTCAATATGTAAAATTCTCTTGGCACGAATCTTACCCTTAACTTGCTTATTCACAATAATGCCAACTGCATGCTGGGTGACATTGTAGACTCTTCCAGTTTTGCCATGATAACATTTCTGGGGCATTCCTTTTTGAACAGTGCCCATTCCCTTGATGTCCACAATAGCACAGCTCTTGTAGATTTGCATGTACTAGGTGTACTGATTAATAATGGCGGATTTTGTAATCAAAGAAAACATGATAATTTCAAGAGAAACATCAAAAGTGCTTTATTCAGGGACCTTTCCCCCTACCCCCTCCCTACTTGGGAGTGCATTTTATGGGACTCTTCCCCCCCTATGTGGGAGTCTGTACTTGTTCTTCAATAAATCTCCACCTTTGATATATATATATATATAAAGTGCTTTATTCAAAGTAATGTCCACCGCTAGCTACACATTTCCCCATCTTTCAGGTAATTTGTAGATACCGTCCCAATAGAATTTTTCTTTTTTTGAGGCAAACCATTCAGAGACCCAATTTTCCACTTCTTCGTACATTTTGAAGTGCTGCTCAAAAAGTACGTATGACATTGATTGGAACAAGTGGTAATCTAAAAGAGCAAGGTCTGGTGAATACACTGGGGGGTTAATACTTTCCAGACAAGATCTTTTTTTTGATAATATATTTTATTCATTTTTTTACAAGGAGGAAAGGAGAGGGATAGAGAGTTAGAAACATCGATGAGAGAGAAACATCAATCAGCTGCCTCCTGCACACTCTCCACTGGTATGTTCCTGCAACCAAGGTACATGCCCTTGACCGGAATCGAACCTGGGACCCTTGAGTCTACAGGCCAATGCTCTATCCACTGAGCCAAACTGGTTAGGGCAAGGCAAGATCTTTTAATGTGTCTTAAACTGGTTTTGAAGTATGTGATAGTGTGTCATCATGAATCAAAATTACTTTGCTATGTCTTCTGGCACATTCTTCACAATCAAAGCATGGTTCAAATTGATTATTTGTTGTCGGTAGTGATCAGTATTAATGGCTTCATCTGGTTTTAGCTCATAATACACCACACCTTCCTGATTCCACCAAAAGCAGAGCGTTGTCTTCTTTCAGAAGTGATTTGGCCTTGCAGTCGATGTTAATGCTTGACCTGGA